GACCTCCATCATATAAACTGCCTGTTTGTATTCAGTGCCATAAAGAACTCATTTTGGATAAAGCTGTTGTTTTGTTGTATATGAATAACAGAAAGTATCTCTGATTATAATAACATTAATCATCATATTATTTAATATTCTGTTGTCTCATCTTACTAAATACACATTGAGTTATCAGTACCACAGTCAACCATTGCAAGATTATGAATCCAGAATAAAGAGCAATTTTAGAAATTAGTAATCTGTAACTACACCAAAATACAAATCATATTGAGTTGTTATATCAAATTCAAAAATATTGAACAAAATTTTGTGACTTGGTGAGTTTAAAGCATTTTTCGTATTAGAGTATTAAAGATACTTTGCCAGGATGCAGTTAATTTTTACACATGGCATATGACTTTAATCACATTAGGGCGGTTTCTACAACTCTCACCACCTACACAGTAAATATACTCAAAGATAACACTGCTGAAATAATACTCGAATAAACATATGATAAATTATATCAAAAATATTATAATTAGCAAGTAGTAATAAAAATGGCATCAATTCCCTTCCAGAAAATCTCGCAGTAATTTTGTTGTATATTTATTAAAAGAAACTGTATGCCTTTTAGAAGTGTATAAATGATCATTCGAAAAAATGTATCACATGTACTTAACGTTGTATTTGACATGCAACACGGACATGATCAAATCAAAGTGACATAGGACACAACATTCACGAGCCGTTGAAATGATTATATTTCTATATTCCTAAACCCAGGTTAGAAATTAAGTTGAGGTTGTACATGTATGTTATGCATCTACTTAAATACCTATTTGGGAATCAATAAACTACCCCCCCCCCCCATCTTAACCATAATTTCTTTAGAATTTAGGTTGAGGTTGAGATTAAAATCTTGTGAATAAATCTCAGGTATGGATCTAGTCTTTCATCAAGCTTCGGCTTATATACTATATACTCTATATATTACTATATACTCAACTATATACTCTTGTACCGATTTGACTTTCAATCATGAAAAGCATTGTGAAAATCTTTAGAAATCCATTCTATAGCCTCAATATATATTTTCCCATTCTGTACTAGACATAGAATTCCTGAACATATATATGAGAGATTTTTATCTTGCTTCAAACCCATGAGGAATTTAAAATATGGGGTGATGATGCTAGAGATGAGATTTTACAAAATATGAACATAATGTGTAATATGATCTACTTGTCAAATTACTTATGGCCATAGCATGCAACTGATGTGAGAGTTTTGATTCCTCATCCTCTCTTGCCAACATTACACAAGATAAAAAGGTCAGAATAGGCAAATCATCACATGATAGACTATACATTGATTCTTAAATACACTCAGAATAATTCAAAAGGCTGTATAAAACTGAAAGTTCTTTGTGGCCAGCTTACGCCATTTAAACAATTTTTCAGCCTATAGTTTTACATGGTGAATCATAAAAATATGCACCCCTACCCCTTATAACAAAATGGCTAAAGTTCTGGAAACAATGTTTTTCATGTTAATAAGGGAGTATCCAGTATAGATTCTCCAATATAGTTGTTCATGAAAAAAAACATTCCATATTGATTTTTACACATCTGTGTATGTTAACAGTCTGATGATACATAATATGTAAATAACATGATTAGTATAGAATAGACTTGTTCAACTATAGTACATATATGTATGTTGCTCATATTATACATTGAAGTGGCCTTTTTTAATCATAGCCACCTGTTCATTAGTAAGATATGCAAGACAATTGATGTACGGAACATGTTTGTTATTACAACTTTTTTTATGAAAGAAATTGAAATGCTTTTTGCAGAAGAAGACGGTTGTTTCTTTAGAAATCCATTCTATAGCCTCAATATATATTTTCCCATTCTGTACTAGACATAGAATTCCTGAACATATATATGAGAGATTTTTATCTTGCTTCAAACCCATGAGGAATTTAAAATATGGGGTGATGATGCTAGAGATGAGATTTTACAAAATATGAACATAATGTGTAATATGATCTACTTGTCAAATTACTTATGGCCATAGCATGCAACTGATGTGAGAGTTTTGATTCCTCATCCTCTCTTGCCAACATTACACAAGATAAAAAGGTCAGAATAGGCAAATCATCACATGATAGACTATACATTGATTCTTAAATACACTCAGAATAATTCAAAAGGCTGTATAAAACTGAAAGTTCTTTGTGGCCAGCTTACGCCATTTAAACAATTTTTCAGCCTATAGTTTTACATGGTGAATCATAAAAATATGCACCCCTACCCCTTATAACAAAATGGCTAAAGTTCTGGAAACAATGTTTTTCATGTTAATAAGGGAGTATCCAGTATAGATTCTCCAATATAGTTGTTCATGAAAAAAAACATTCCATATTGATTTTTACACATCTGTGTATGTTAACAGTCTGATGATACATAATATGTAAATAACATGATTAGTATAGAATAGACTTGTTCAACTATAGTACATATATGTATGTTGCTCATATTATACATTGAAGTGGCCTTTTTTAATCATAGCCACCTGTTCATTAGTAAGATATGCAAGACAATTGATGTACGGAACATGTTTGTTATTACAACTTTTTTTATGAAAGAAATTGAAATGCTTTTTGCAGAAGAAGACGGTTGTTAAGTGGTACAATTAATAGTCATATATAAAGTGTAGCTCAGAATGGCAAATTCTAATCGCATATGCATTTTGATCATTAGCACTAACACTCAAGTCATTTCAACTTAGTCTAAGGGCTGTTTATATAAAACAGATAGCCTAAGAGCAAATATGCATGAATGAAATTTACTTTGGCTTAACTACCTCTAAGTCACAACACTTATAATATAATAAACAATATGGAAATCAACTATTTCCATCTGGAACATATCAAATATATATCTATTTACAACTCCTGAGTTCTACATATAAGTTTGTACAACCTGTACATCTAATTCAAACATCTATCTATGTGAACACTCTTTCATGGTCTCAAATTTGTTATGTGCAATTGATTCACATATTAAGAAATCTTGAAATTTGAAAAGTGTTGTTCAAATTAAACAGGTTTTACTATACAGTAAAACCTGCACATAGTGAACACTTATGGAGCCACAAAAAGGTGCTGCAGGAAGGTGTTTATTACAGAGAAAGATTTCATACAGGACACAATGTAAAATGTGGCTGGAAGTGGTGTTCACTAAACACAGGTATTCATTTGAGAGGTGTTCAGTAAAACAGGTTTAACTATTATACTGTTTTTGTATGAAAGACAAGTAGAACCTGAAGTGTACTACAGCTCTGTGAATTAGCAAGTAAAAGGTTTATATTAATAATCAATCTAAGCTTTGGTTATTATTAACTGGTCACATCTTTCCTAGCATGTGTTGTATCAGAGATGATGAAAGTGACATACATGTGGTGAATGCTAGTGTGATCGCACTATTGTTTTATTAGACATAAGGTGGGCCTGAGTAGCCATGATAACAACTGCTGGGAATTGAATAATTGTAAAATCATGTACAGGGGTTTCATTAGCAGCAGACAACAGGCAATTTTCACCGGTTGTTTTCACAAATTTGCCTGTTGTTTTGAGGGACTCTTTCAACTTTTCCATGTTAAATTTATGATTTCCATTAATTTTACCTGTTGTTTTCATTTATTTAGCCTGTTGTGAGGAATTCTAGTGACACCCCTGATGTAGTAACTGATTTGTTATTCTATGGAGTGGTACTCTGCTACTGTAGAAATATTATTAAGTGTTAATTTAGATGATAAATTAAATCTTTAGGAACAAGTAGAAAAGCTGGAATATATAATCTGGAATTGATCTCAATTTTTTATCTTTTACATTCTCACTGTATACTGTATACTGTATACTGTATAAGGGAGATGGTGACTATCAAGAAATTCAGAGCAATAGATGTTTCAGATAGAAGGCCAAATGCCTAAAAAAAATTGTCATCAACTGTCGCATGATCATCTTATTTTAAGATGACATTACAGAAATAAAGTTTTTTAAATTTCAGTTTTAGGCACAATAATGGATGGTCCTTTAATTTTTGCTCAATAGTAGCCTACATATCTAGATGGTTGCTTTAATAAACATTCAGGTAATCACAAACTCGTCTTTGCATTATGATTATTTGCCAGGAGATAACATGGAGCAAGCAAATAACAAGGGCAAGTAAAAAAATTTGCTCACATTGAGCAGCAAAATGCAATGCTTTGACTGCAGAAAAGGTTCTATTTCAAATATGCATTCATATTTTTAATATTGTATCTCCAATTTACCAAAATTTCAAGTTTAAATACGACTGAACAAACAGCCTATTTTGCCACAAAAAGATCAATCTTCACAGTAGTTTTGAGATTCTCAATATTTTTATATCTTGTTTGTAAGGGCTGTCGCGAAACTGTATTCATGAACAAGACCACCTATTGGTTTCACCACATGACTTTAGAGTGATACTGTTGACTTCTAGTTTATCAACCAATCAAATAGCATCCGAAAACGGAATTCGATTAAGAGCACATGTGCATAAAGAATATAAACTTCAAACTGGCTGTGCCTAATAGAACTTATGGGCGTAGCCAGGGGTAGGGGGTGCAATGGGTGTGATCGCATCACTCACCCCCATAAATTATAGTTTGAAATGCTTAGAATGTACCATATAAAGTGTAAATTTTAAACAATTTCCGGGAAACCCCATACCCACTTTTTTGGACTCAACTCGCTCGCAGTGATGCAAATAAAAAAATCGCACCACACTTGACAATTGATGGCTATGCCCCTGGAACTCATATTCATATTATACATGAATATGATCATGATATTACAACATTATATACTTATCAAAGCCAGACTCTGAAACACTTTTAAACTACAGTGATGAGTCATAATGTCATATTGATGTCCTTGAATTTCAATACATCAAAATAAAAAATATCAGAATTTTTTTCCTTACCTGAAAACTAGCTGTGATCGGGTCAGATTCATCCAAAAATCTTATTGTGCATTGGTACTCTATATTTACATATCCTTTGCTGCTTTTACGCTTGAACATAGTGCTTATTTCCAAAGATATTACCCTAAATATCGAAATGGAAACAACAACCTGCTTCGCAGCAAATTAATTAGGTCAATTGAATAGCCTCGTTGTCGCCGGAAATGATTCAGCTGTATTAGCTTATTAGATCACAGAAAATGTATTTCAACCCTTCTTTCTCGTGTTTATATAGTTGAAATAAATTTATCCTTCATAAAAATAAATTATATTCTCTCAAATAAAGAAATTTTACAAGTTTAAATAATGTGTCGAGACTATAATCAATCAGCCTCGTTTCCAAAGTAAACAGACCCGCCCACATTTGAATATTAGTGTCTAGCATCAATGCATGTTACCTTCTAAGCAGGCCTTCTATATTATATTATTTGCTAAAGACTCGAGTATGGTAAATGCATACCAGCTTCCCCTATTCCCTCAAATGCAGTCACTGTGGCTTATCCCGTTCCTGGAACGGGATAAACTGTGGCCTCTTTAGATGCTAGTGGTTGTATAGTCATTAGTGTTATGACATGTTACTTAAGTGTTTTGCAGTTCTTTTTTGTTCAGTCTCATGTTTTGTTTTATAAAACCCTGAACCAAGAGTTCTACAAATTAAAGACAGGATGTTTCTCTAGAAGTGCCACCTATCTGTTTGGATTGGAATAGAACCTCTTTGATCAAGGATTTTCAATTCTTTTTTGATGATAATTGAAATTATTTCCATCTCGAGCTATGTGCTTGTACCATTTTTACATCAAGCGCTGGATTCCAATTTAGTTTTTTCATTTAAAGTGGCAACAAAGAATATTAGAGTGTAAATCATGTTTAAGAAGCATTATTTTCAACAAGCAATATAGTGAAAGTGTTTCTAGAGACATATACCAATTGATATAAAAGCAGAACTTCTACCTGAAATATGATTGAACATAACTGATCTGAAAATATAAAGGAACCCAGTCTCTAACACTGATTTGTATATACCATGGGCTTTCTCTTGAAAGCGGCCATGTATATACTTAGTACACCTGAATTGAAAAAAATCAGAACAAATATTGAACCTGTATCTTGCAACACCAATTGGCTCAATAGACTTTGATATAAACTTTCTTTTCAGTTTTAAACATATTAAGGAAACAAATATGGTAAGGGGACGCATCAAAAGGGAGGGTTCAAAGTAATTTCAGTTTGCTATCCAACAAATTTCTAAGAATTAAAGTTAAAAATGATCTAATTATAATCAGATCATTTTTAGAAATAAATTTTCAAATTCTCAAACCGGAAGTCCGCTATCAACGTTCATGGTATTTAGTTTTTTGGGGGGTCAAACTCACAATTAAATTTATCATGTTTATTAGTTTTCCATCCGACATCGACTTTTTGATGCCTCCCCTAAGGGAATCGATCATCTTTAAAAAGTATAACTTTCCCAAAAATCATTTTATGAAAATGATGCATTGAAATTGAGGCTATTTACTGATAAGCAGTTCTACTTTATGACAAAGGCAAGTGGCACAATGAATGTCATTGTCATTGTTATATCAATTGAACTCAATTTCACTATGGGGTCTTTAGGACAAGTTTAGGTGTAATGAATTCATTCATTTTTTCCAGTTTTCCTTAAAGGGATAAACAGTAGGTCATGATGTCATAATCACGTTTTATTCAAAATAAGTTTAGCAACACAATGCTGTAATGAATAACACACAGACCAAGTCATCATATATTGTATCTCTTTATTTACAATTCCATAGAAATATACACTATTTATATTCAATAAGTTATATTACAGTATTATTTAGGACGGCAATTATTTCACAGATCTATGAGTGAATACAAGAGTATTGTTTGGAAAATGGATGTCATGGCAGCATGACAAAACATGACAATTTTGGTGCATGGTGGACACAACTATATCTATTTTTTAGTATAGACAAGATGCAGATAGGATAGAGATCCTTCTTTGTACAAAAATCTGAGTATCTCATTTCTAAAAATATGCCATTTCAAGTGTAAAACCTTTATTCGTTGAATCAACTTTCACAGGAAATATAACAAAATGAAATCAATATTTCAAAATCCTAGATGTTTTCATGGAACAAATAAGTTATGCATGTTTGGGATTGAATCTAGATTTTACATCATTATCTTGACCATGTAAAACCATCAGAACTATGAGACCCATAATTTTATATTGTCAAAACTGTTTTCTCAAAATCAGGACACAAATATTTTTCTTTTAATATATTTTTAGTCCCTAAGATCTAATGGTCTATCCGCTTCCCTAGTGCCTGGAATGATTTAGAAGTTTGTGCCCTCCATCTCAAAAGTCAATGTAGGACTATTTACTTTATTTCCAGATTTGTTAATTAATGCCGTCTTTTCTGACTACTATATTTGGAAATGTTGGTATACATTGTCTTCATTTGTAAAATTCTAACCCATATTGAATTATAATGTTCTAATGGATAAGTAATGAATGAGGAATGCACTTATTAATACCAATGCCAGAAAGGCTGAGTATAAAGGCCCATATAAAATTATTATTCCTACATTGACCTTACAAGATGTTCCCTAAATAAATAAGCCTCTAACAGATTTCAAAATGGCAGGAGGGACAATATCCCCACCATAGTTCAAAATGGATGAAGTCTGCAGATATTTTTACAATTCAAGGACGGAAAATAAAGTTGGTGCTTCCTCTAATATTCCAATAAAGGAATTAGAGGAGAGTGGATTATTTCAATATCCCCTCTTGGGATAAACGACAATCCTCTCCAAACTGTAAGCACTAGTAAAATCAATACTCATTATCATCCATGTCATTGTCCATATTATTTGTTATTTTATTACTGTTTTTGCTTTTTAATCGTGCCTGTAGAAGTACATGTTCCACTACACCCATACGAATCTCCATCTGTGTGATCTCCTTCTTAAGGTTCTGTAACGCTTGCTTTATCTTCACAAGTGGTGCTGAAAATGTGCAAAATTTCGCTCATTAATTAATATTCAAAAATCTACATTTTTTAAAAACAACACAAAAATGGCACATGTGATAGGGAAATTCAAATCTCACAATGACTAATTCATGCAGTTGTATATTGGTTATTTATAAGGTAACATAATGAGGGGGGGGTTATTGAATTATAATGGGTTATTTACTAGAATAATGGGGATTTGAGAGAGTTGAGACATATTAAGGCCTCCAATAGACTCCACAAGTTGCCAATCCAAGTGCAATGTCTGAATATGTTAAGCATGCAAGGTAATATACAGAAGCGAAATGAAACAATTGAAATGAACTCACTTCCATCTGTCATGCTAGTCCCCCTCTCTTCCATTTGCATCTTGACTTGATCAAGTTCATCTGTTAGCTAAAACACACAGAAACGACAATTCAAAATCATAACTCAAATGTACATGTACAAACAAATGATCAATGTTTTGCCTTATTTCAGTTTTTCTTTGTTCTTATAAATAAATGGGGCGCTAGTAAAGATCTAGATTGCTAGAGCTATGTCTCCACCTCTGTAGCATTGCATCGTTTGCACAAAAATTGTATTTCATTCACTATCAATTTTTATCCTTGATTTTTAAAATGAGAATCAGTTTATAGATCTATATGACATGTATCATACATTTAATAAAACCTTGTATCAAATGTTCAAAAAAGGTTGAAAAAATCAAAAAAAGAAATACGTGACAAGAATCAAAATGGGTCACAAACAAGGCAAAATTGTGTAATTCTATTAAGAGAATATAGGTAAATATTAAATTGTTGAGTTGATGGTCTTATTAATACATTGTACTTTTGCAAATTGTGAAGCAATATTCCCAAATTATAATAATAAAAAACATTGCCTAGTCTATTGCTAGTTGTGAAGATCACTAATAAAGGCAAAAAATATGGGTTTGAAAGAATTATTGCTGCAGATACCGCAAAAACTTACCTCTGCAAGTGTTCTGGTTCTTTCAGTGACTCCTCCACTAGCTTGTCTATATCTCTCCTTAGCTTCTGCCAGTTGATCCTGCATCGCCCTGAACTCATGAAGATGATGTTCAAGCTGGTTGTTAATATATTTCTCTCTACTACCTATCTTTTCTAATGTCTTTGAGATTTCATCGTGGAGTTTGTCTAGATAAACTTTGGTTTCTTTCAGAGATGTTTCAATGCCCCCTTTGTGTTGATGCATTTGGTCTATGTGTACCCTCCAGTCCTGGAATGATAATTATTACTTCAGGCCAGAGTAAAAAATGAAATATTTATAGGATAAGACAAGATGAATTTTGGAGTATCAAGACTTTTTATTTTGCTTGTTTCATATTTCAAGAAATTTCAAATGAATGGATATCCTTCTTTATCACATTGTTCAAATGTATCAAATAGAATTCAAAACTTGAGGAAATAACTGTCAATTCCAATCAGTGTCTTTTCGTTAAACTTTTGAATTTTCTGATTATTTGTTTCTATCATTTATACATATACAAGAATAAACCATGTAAAGTTTATGTCACTTCCTGACTCACTTTATTATCTGTCCGTATAGTGACTTTGAGTTGTGGTTGGACTCTCTCTACTTCAAGTTTCCAATCAGCTGCATTAGTATTGGATTGCATGATCTCCTCTGGCTTTGTGCTCTCAGCATTTTCCTAAAAAATAACATATTGTGTGAATCCTGTTATATTGGGTATATAAGAAGTGGGTCAGATTAATTCAATCCTAGATTTATCAGGTCAGAGCTCGGTTGAGTAGTGACAATCAATTAAAGGGAACTTGAGCAGTTGAGGCTGTCAACTCATTCTCGGGCTCATTCTGAACTTTGCCTAGGAAATACATGTATGATTTGAACATTGTAATTTTTGGGTTTCCACCAATCAATCCCAAGCCAGATCTTAAAAGCTGCATCCAATACAGCAATACTGTAATAGTGGAAGTTTCTCAAAAGACATATATAGATCTGTAGGGTGTTTGTATGAATTTACAATTAAATCTAACTACCTGGTTTTTCCTCATTTTCTTGAGGTCATCAAGGCCAAGAATATTCTCTTCCTCTTCAAAGTCCTCATCAATGTCTTCCTGCATCTCCTCTTCTACCTTGTTCAAGTCTAACTCAGCATCATCATCTTCTATAACATCTTCTTCAGTCTCTTCCTCGGGATACACAGGCCTACATGCAGAATTTTTTATAAGTAAGGTATTTATTGCAGGTTTCAAGTTTTTAAGACATTCATTCTTGCCACTATCTTGGACTGACTGAGAGACAAATGGACAAATCAATGTTAACTAAAATGGCTGAAAATAAAAAACGGATATAATTCTGATCTATCATGACATAATGAATTTTTAATGTTAAACATGTCAGACATCTGCCTTTTTTAATGTAACAGTGACAGGGGTAACTTCGTGTTTATCAAAAATTGGCTTCATAAACATGTGCAACTACCCCTGTCCCCTCCCCCAAAATAAAATATTCTTGAGATGTTTATGTTTACAAATTCAAAAATAGCTTAAAGTAATGAGAGTACCAACTGAGATCCCCAAAAATATATAAACTCATAAATTCACATTAATTCTGTCATTTAGACTATGCACAGTAAAGATTATAATAACTCACATTTTCCATGAAAAATTGGCTGTTTTGAGGGCCTCATTTGAGAAGCAGTCTAAGACATAAATACATTGCTCTCCACAGCCTGTCTTCAACTTAGAGGGTGGAAAGTCTACTCCATGGCCCTGAAAGAACAAAAATATCATCATTTAGTAGTGATTTTTCTATAAATCACATTATATTAAACCTAACCAACAAGAATCTTATATTACATCTAATTGTATGACTGACAAGAAAGAACCAAACTAAAGTTTAGGTTTAATAAAAACATAATGTCACGAAGTCACAGGCTAAGTGCTGGTATCTGGTTTAAGATGGTTATACCTTGGGGGGGGGGGGGGGGGGGATTATAACTGGATTCACAAGCTATGTATCACCTTCCATAGCCAGTTTTGTGAAAGGGGGTTTCACTTTTCCAAACAATTCGGGAGGTTCGATTTTTGACAACTCTGGTCCAAAATCAATGGAAGAATGCTCAGAATTGTTAAAAACTGCATGATTTTGAAAGAATTGTTGGGCAAGGCTCGAACCCCCCCCCCCCCCCATTTATTTTACATGTACTTACAAAACCTCTGAGCTCTTCTAGGATACTAGAGATGGTAGCATTGGGATCATCATACTGCAAATAAATGGTAAACAACACATTTAAAAATTTACGGTATAAAATAATATGTAAATTATATATACGTGTACAAGTATGCAGATTAAGCTATTTTTGAACTATTTCATACAAGCATTCACTAGATGAAAATACATTTCTGAGAAATATAAAATGAGTGCTACAGGTTACATGCATTGTTTTGCTCATGATGTGCAATAAATAAATAAAGTTGTTTACCTCTTGCGGCTGGTCAAACTGTTTACCAGATACCCTCAGTAGCCAGGCAGCCAGGGAGGTGAAGTTGTAGAACTGTTCACCAGGGTTGGTAGGTATTGCAAAGTAGTGTCTGAAACAAAGGGGAACATCAGATAGACATGCTGAGATTTTGTAAATAAAGAACAGGTGAGTCTATTATATAAAGTTTAAATAAACAAAAATCACATGTACCTTGAAAATGGTTTAAATCCTAACTGACGGCAGAATTCTTCTTCATAATGAAGAAGCTTTAGTTTGTCTATCATGTCTTCCATTTGGACAAACATCTGATATGCTGCACCGGGACCAGAGGATTCACCCTCCATATCATCCCCACGCCTACGCTCATCCCCATCAGCCATCTTATATAATTACAGGTACCTACAACAACAATCAGTATTTGCATTTATGAATCAGAATACTAGTATAGTATTGGCTAAAATGTTAAAAATAGGATCCTCATATTATAGCAGTGGTGCACTTGGATCTAGAAATTAACAAGGGGGGGGGGCAAATTTTAAGAAATTTTGGGCCCCTAAAACCAAAACATAGACCCAGATTTTGAAAAACTAAGGCCCCTTTTTTGATAAATTGGCCCATAAAAGGCCAAATTATGCCCAAAAAGGCCCATTTATTTGTTGCCCTACAAAATTTTAGGGCCCAACAAAATTTCTGAGCCCACTAAAGGGGGGGGGGGCAGGCCCCATGCCCCACCATAAGAACAACAACACAAGAAATGTTCTAATCTAGAGTCCATTTCACTGCTTCATTTCGTCAGTAGAACGGCAAAAATAAGAAATTGGGAGACCATTGTGCAATAATATATGGAAAAGTATATTCATAATGTACATGAATGACATTTGTATATTTCAGATTTTTTAGTTTTTTGTGCAATAAGCCTGTGCCGTCTTGTAATTTGAAGAATTTCAGCCATGTTAATCTTATTGAAAATAACATGGCAGAGAAACATCGAAATATAAGAGGCCACACGCTTTATAAGCCAAACTAGAAGCAATCCAAGATATACAAATGTCATTCATGTACATTATGAATATACTTTTCCATATATTATTGCACAATGGTCTCCCAATTTCTTATTTTTGCCGTTCTACTGACGAAATGAAGCAGTGAAATGGACTCTACCAACAGCAAAAAAGTTGCAGCTGTCTCAAATTGCAGTAATACTATACACTTCAATCTTTAAATCCAAACAAATGTCAGCCATGGATACAGGGATTATCTTGACGTCAGCTCCGAACTATTTCAACTTACAAGACAGGTAGTAATATATGAATGAATGGGTAGAAAAAACATTTAGCTTTGGCTGTCATTGATCAGCAGCCACAGGGATTTCCTTGCATTTAAACTGAGTGAACTAATTTCCCAAGCTTAAATGATAATGTTCCAGGGAAAAAAAGAAATATTCATGGCAGACATTTTGAAATAAGCTGAAATACTGGTGGATTCAAAAATTGAGTTGTATATTGCTGCAATTTAGAGAGCCCCAACTTTTCTGCAATTTGGAAACCATGGGCTTTCAAGAAAGTTGATAGTTCAACAAGTTAAACCTAGTCTGGGCCTTATTTATTATGGTTTCATTAAGATTCGGGTTCTAACCTTTAGAAGGTAAGTCAGACTCCCCAGGCCCGTAGCCAGGATTTGCCAAGGGGGGGTTCAATTTTCAAAAATTTCCAGGGGGGGGGTTCACATTTGATAATTTTGCCCCAAATATTGCTAAAATCACTTGAAAAGTGCTCAAAATGGTGAAAAACTGCATGATTTTGAAAGAATTTTTGGCCAGGGGGGGGGGTTCGCCCGAACCCTGCGAACCCCCCCTGGCTACGGGCCTGCTCCCAAACGTCAGCTAACTCTTATAGATCTATTTAGAATGTTAGCGACGAACTCAGGCCATGAAAAAAATAGTAGGCTCATATTGATGTGAATGCAGCAATGGTTGAAATTAATGAATTAGATCTTCTCTAATGTCATGTGTTATTCAAATTGAATGACCAATGTATCAATTCAAATTGAATTCAAATGATTCAATGATTGAATGAAAATGAATATGAAAAGAAATCAAACAAACCTGAATTGTGACTTCAATTCCTCTAAACGGAGAAATTCGGTGCTGGATTGACACGTCACCCAATTAGTCGTAAACGACGACTTTGAAAGTCAACTTGGCATGAGAATATAAATGTATTAGGACAAAGTATTGAATTAAAATGGGAAAAATACCAATATTATTCTTTTCGAAAAAATTTCAGAAACTATGCAGAACCCGGATGAAGGTCATTGGGAGCAACAATTAAATAATTTTCACTAAAGTTTTTTTAAGAAATGTATTAGATTAATTTAATGTATTGCATTAATATTAGTAGTAATGTAGATCTGACTATATGAAGATACACAGAGAAAAGTTTGAATTGATATATTGTCTTTGAAATGGCGTAATATCGAATTATATGAAATAGTCTCGTTGACTGGCAACAGTACACAATATGGCGGACGAAGGAAAAGGTTTGAATGATTTCCTTTCCAAAGTCGACCAGATTGGTAGGTATCCCGCGTAGCAAAAGATGCATTGGACGTTGTAGATTGTTTGTGATATATCAAAGATTAAATAGACTGGGTTTAAAAGTCGTATTTTGATGTTATATAGATTTTGGTGTAATGACCAATGCTGGAAATGAACATTGCTGATTCAGTGAAAACTCATTTGATTCTAGAATAATCTAGATGTCTAAATTGGGCTGCGCTTGCTCTGATGCTTCACATTAGAGCTCGTCTATTTATCTATTTACTGCTTTTGGGATTATGTAAGCTTATGCACTGTGCAATATGATATTTTGTGACTGAACTTATAACAGAGCCCAGTGTTTGTAATTTTGAATTTTTAATGATGTAAATCAAGATTATTTCTAGACTACTCGCATCTTGTTTATTGAAATAGTTCCATTGTTGAAATAGCCTCTGGATGAAGTAACCTCATACGTCAACGTGGGGGAACCCTAGACAGTCTCCAATAGAGTACAGGGAGGCAATGTCATCCATGTAGGTAATTGACAGACAAATGACTGCATGCACTGAGTGTCCGACAGTTACCTAAATGGACGACATTGCCCCCCTCTCCTCTAATGACCAATTACATATTTTATTCGAAATAAAATAAAGAAAAATCTTGAGACCTCAAATTACTAATTTTCATTGCAGAAAAACTGGTAAAAGGTCTAAATGCCGAAGATGATGAAGAGAGGAAAGCTGCCTTTCAAGATTCAGATGCATTCTTAGCTGAACATCTCCCACCATCTGAAAGATCAAAAACTGGCAAAGCAGGTATAGTTAAAGAAACAGAATGTGCATGTTAAGCTACCCAATCCCCCGGGGGGTTCACTGTGTACAAAATTTGTCAGGGGACCTAGGCTGAACCCTCAGATATCAATATATTCCCATACCAAAATGTCAAATTTGAATGTGTTCCCATACCAACCGATATTTTGCCAAAAAGCCATCCCAAATGCCCAAATATGAAACCAATGCCATACCAAATGTCAAAATATAGGACCAATGCCATGACTGGTCCAAAGTAGAATATTTCGTGGGAAAAAAGATTTTTATTTAAACTGAAGAAGGACCTAAGAAGAAGGCGATCTTTGAGGAAAACAAACCATAACAACCTCACAATGTGAATTTTTCCTTATACATTTTATTTCAATATGTTAAGCATAAACTATAAACTTTTTTTCATTTACAGCATTTGATAGGACATTGATAAACAAAAGTGCTGGAGATGGAATGTCTCCACAAGATTCAGAGCAGCCTACTTGTCAAGGTTGGTAGTTCATTTCAAGACAAACTCAACAGTTAGACTAGACTGTGCAAGACTAGCTGGTTTCTATTATTCAGAAAATTGCAATGTAGAGCTAGGTTGAATTTTTAATTGTAAGCTATTACCTCTTTTATGTTTTATACTGCCATGTATTTTAACATGGGTGTCATAGTCAAGGAAAAGTATTATAAAGTCTAGTTTTCCTGATATGAAAAGTCAGAAATTTTTTGAATTTTCATCAAAAATAATCAATGGTCAGGGTATTATAGAATTCTGCAGGATATGGTATGTTCCTATTGTATAGTATATTTACTGATTATTGATACAATTCATTCTTATGTGCTGTGTTGTAGATGAGATGATGAAAGTTCTAGAGGCTGATGCAGCTGATCGCTACAACAGAAGGCAGGTTGCTAAAAAAGAAGCTGATGAACTCAAAGAGAAAGGAAATGTCGAATTTAAAAATGGAAACTATGAAGGAGCAATTGAGTGGTACACCAAGGTATGATTGATTTATGGCTTTTCGGGGATTGGTTGTTCCACAGTTTTCAAATATGGTTCCCAAATAATTTCTGCATGCTTTCTCATTGTTAAGATGCCATACGATAGTAATAATAAAATAATAAAAGATCAGACCATCATTTAATCCTTTGATGCTCAGCTTTATTTTACAAAAATAGGACTATATTCTTGTTTGTAGCACATACTCACTCAAGTACATAAAATAATGTCTAAACAACAATTATGGAAAATAATTCAGATTCTAAATGAAGGATTTAACTTCTCAAAATAAGACTATAGAATTTTATTATTGAGTATGTGCAACTTGTTGATGCATTTACAGGGTCTAGATGTACTAAAGGACACTATTGCACTGTGGACTAACAGAGCCCAAGCAAATATCAAGCTTGGCAGATATAAAGAAGCATTACATGATTGTGAGTGGGCATTAAAGGTGAGTTCTCGTTTCTTATTTTGATGGCCAATTTCAACCAATGCAAATGTATGAATTACGTGTACCATAACATGTGTGCTACTTGGGAATACTATGTACTTAGTAAAAATGATCCTCTAAGTGAATTCCATATGTTCTATGAGCTTATCAAGCAAGAATATGCACCAAAAAGATTTTAAGATTATTCATTATTTGTGTCTATGTTAATGTGAGTTGCTAGCAAGTTTAAAACCGGCCTTTAAGTGAATTCCATATGTTCTATGAGCTTATCAAGCAAGAATATGCACCAAAAAGATTTTAAGATTATCTAATATTTGTATCTATGTTGTTCAGTTGATCATTCTTACTGTAGGTGGATGAAATGTGCTTGAAGGCCTATGTACACCAAGGCAAGGCTAACTTGGGCCTTAAACAATATGACCAAGCCATAGAAAGCTATAATAACATAAAAAGAATAGACAAGAAGAAGGAAAATATGGTCAAAGGTATCTACATATTTTGTAACTACATAGTTTTTATGTCACCACCACAAGTTGTGACATATTGTTATAGTCTCTAACTTTTTTGTGGATGGTGTTTGGCGTCTGTAACAAATGGCTTAAAGTGGCCGGTGTCTGTAACAAATGACAGGTGGTGATATTTTGCATGTTAATGCTTTATTCATTATTGCAACCATATCTGATTTAATCTGTATGTACTTGTGAATTTCTGCCATTGAAAACAATTTCTGAATATTTTGATTAATTGTTGCAAGGGAAGATGAAACTAATGTGAAATGTTTGATATATTTTAATAAAATGCTTCGAAAAATAACAAATAACTGCAAATAGGAGCTATGGTGTTGAGAGAATATCCTTTGAATATTCATTCCTTTGTAGGTTACATCAATGAAGTAGAGCTTGCTAGGGCATCAATGCAGCATGAAGAGGCAGCTAAAGCTTCATTCCAGTCTGGAAACTTGGGTGCTAAGGGTGTAGTAGAACTCCTAGAGAAGCTGATCAAGCCAGGAGAGATGGCCATTTATTATGCAGGAGGCTGTAGGCTACTGGGTAGTCTCCTAACAGATAGTAAGTGTTAGAGTTTTAAGTGTATTATTAGTGACCATCTAGCAAGCTCAAATTAGATAATGTGAAATATTAAAAATCCATTTCTTCAAAAATTGCTTAGACTTGAAAATTGCACCTGCTTTTGAATTTGTATTCTAACTGGAAGATTAGCGCTTGAATAAAAAGCTAATAGACTAGATGCGAGTAGAAATAATCTTGATTTACGTCATCAAAAATTCTAACTTTAGTCAAACTGATGTCATATTTGGAATCTACATGTAGAATTACATCTAGAAATGTGGTTTTGAAAAGAGTTTATCAACTTTGAAAATTTAATTTTCTTGGAAAATGGGACTTCTAGGTCGGGGGGATTCCCCATAGGGCCCATGTTTTAAAATCACAAAAAGTGAAATATCTTTTCTTGTGTTGGGCAGATAATATTTTCTTTTACTGGGCATATTTTAATTTGTAGAACTATCAGATACAAAAGGGTAATATGAAAGGTGAACCACTAAAACTGATGAATATTCAAGTTTAAGGGAATTTTGTAATACCCTGCCATGTTATTTCCCCCGACTCAGCCTCCTGGTGGCGAAACTGGTAACTACCTACTCACATCTGAGTAATTGAGCTGTAGGATACAAAAGTTTTCAGCATGGATTTAAATATTACAGAGTATCAGAGATAGAAAGCAACCTTTCTAGATATATTTTCATACACTGTAGTTGTGGTTCTTTTAGGCTTTAAAGTTGATACTGTTCTTCTTTTCAAGAAAATCCATTTACTAAGTATATGAGTGGTCATAGTTTGAAGAGGAATATAGCAAAGCCCTCTATCTGATCGTTCACTCCATTTTTCTGTCTATAGTAGGAAAAAATATTTATTCTTAGTTTTAAAGAATATAATGGTAATTGGTTTTAAAAAAATACATAGAGCTGGCCGGGGAGTGGGTGGTTCCACTGTGAGCCTGAAAATTACCAAAATAGCTGCCCAAATCAATAAGGATATTGTTGTGAATTTTTAGTTCTTAAGTCTCTATACCTTCTGATTGGTGAAACATTAAAATAAAATGAAAGGTATTCAGAGGTACATGTTTCAAATATGATAATGTATTTCTATTAAACATGTCTGGTATTTGAAGCAAGAAATATTAAAAGGGAGTAGCTTTGATAATTGCCCATATATTTGTTCGTATACAAAGTTGCCTTTTTCTAGTTTTAACATTACCTTGTTTAGTTCAAAAATCAAATGTCTTGCTGATGCTCAAAACGACAATCAAATATTTTGCCAGAAATATGTTTGACAGACCCATTAACTGCTTTCTAATAATGTTAACAGTCAAGATGCTCTGTGGTCTATTACATTATTATTTGATTATAGTAAAATATTAGAAACATTGCTCATAATGTTCAAGCATAGCCAACCTACATATTCCTTATTTGGTAAAATTACATCCTTTGTACATGTATATGTATTATATGTACAGTGTATATGTTTAAGATTGCCTTTATATCATGCATGATTTACAGACTCATCTTCTAAATTGTTGTAGTCTAATTCGTAATTGTAGCCAAAGGAATGTTATTCTTCCACTAGTGAATATATAAATGGAGTGTAATTTCTTCATTTTAGCATTGGTGTTAGATGATATATCAATTTTAAGCCACATAAAGATAAACACTAGAATGTATGTAATAGAGTTTGTGTTATCAACATCTCCATAATGACATTTTTGAGCCTTTAGTTTTTGGTGCCACTCAACATGGAAAAAGGGGTGGTCTTCAGCTTCTGTACATGTTTTGTATAAAATTCCTAGATCATCACCAATGTGCGTATATGGAAAGTAAATATACTGTTGTAAGTGGTCATGTTTTATTATAGGTGTGCCATATATAATACTCGACTTATTTCTATTAGAACCAAATTGAAATTTACAATATCTATGAAAGTCACAATTTGATTTGTAAGTAATATTAAGGTCATGGCCTGGTAGTTGATATATAACAGCTAAGCAGTCTTTCATATTCCCACTAACACCAATTAAAGAGGTTATAACCCCCCATGTTGCTTACATTAAAATCATCCATTCTTCGAGGAGAAAAGTTAGACTATAAAGTAACGTTTTTAAGGCAAAGTAACGTGTTTTAAGAATGCCTTCATAAAAAATCATACATTCCGGCATGTGTGGGGAAAAGTTAAAGTCCAATAAAGTATACGTAACGTTTTATTGGCAAAGTACTGTGTTTTGAAAATGCTAATATAAAATCATCCATTCTTCGAGGAGAAAAGTAAGTCCAATAAAGTAACGTTTTTAAGGCAAAGTAACGTGTTTTAAGAATGCCTACATAAATGCCTACAAAAATCATCCATTCTTCGTAGAGTATGGTTAAGTATCATACATAAATGCCTACATAAAACATCATCTATAGTCATGTTTGACTTTCCATAATAACAAAACGAAAAAACGGTACTTTTAAAATGTCAATATTTTCTGTCCCTATATCTTGACACTGTTGTTTTGGAATTAGAATTGAGACATCTGACACAGGAGATTGTGTAGGCAATGAATAAGGTGTTATACTCTCCTCATTTCCATCATATAGATATTCACCTGCCTTTCTACTTGAGCAGCCCTCATACTCACTGTCTGTTGGGAAAAGAAGTGTATCCTCTCTCTTCACATATGAAAGACAAATGTCTAGTTTGTTAAAGGGAAGGGCTAGCTTTAAATTTGATAATAAAGATTTTAAACCAGCTGTAGCCAAACTAAATGATAGATTTATGAGCTTATATTCTCCCTTGGCAGAGTTGAATACTCCAATTGTGTTATTTAAACAGCATTTGTAATCCTCGTTAGTTTGTAATAAAATTATATTTCGTTCTTCTTGATTCGGCCTCCCTAAACCATATGAAAAATGTCCATATAGCAACATGAAGAATGTGATGTGCAAAAATGTATCCATTTTTTCCTAACTTGTCCTTATATATATTCAATATTACTATCTGTTATATTACGCTCTCAAAATTGTTCTATATGGTTTGTTTGGCTGTTGTTAAGTTCTGTCAACGCTCTGTTTGTGTTGATTTTAAATGTGAGATTTGAAAAGAAACCTGAACAAACAAAACTGAGAATAGAACTTATTATAATGTTTTATTCAGTCTCGTGTTATGCCACTTCTATTCTAAATGAAACGAAATAATATTCACTCTTTGTAGGTCATGGTCTCGTAGGCATAAGGTCACAATATTTTATAAAATATAAATATTATTCTTATTTTTTTTAGAAAGTACAGTATATCATAGATATAAGATTATCTCATGAAAAATAAAAGTTAAAAGAACTTAATAAAGGGGTATACCACAGTCCTATTTGCTGGCCATATAAATAACATACTCCAAATGGCTAGCACCCCTCTGCTGACAGACTATTACAGACTTCTGTGTTGATCTCTGCAATGGTTCTAGGATTGTTGACAAACACTTTCTTTCAAGAGTCATATCGAGCAATGAATGCAAACATGTTGTCAACAACAACTTCGCACAATATGTGGAAGTCTGTCTGCATAGAGGAAGTAAAAATTTAGAGCAGGTTCTTTAATGGCTAGCAAAAGAGCCATAAACATGCTACAGTGATGGAACTTTGTCAGCTTATAAGTATGCCAAAAAAACATTTGTCAGACTTCATTGGTTCAAAAGCTATGCATTGTTAATTGGGTTGCATTGCTTTGGTACGCCCTGTATTTAATTCAAAATAAAAATTATTAATATCATCACTGAGTTTATGTTCAAAATTGGAATAAAATGTATAGATGCAAGTGAAGCCACAGCATTTTTGCACTACTTGAATGCACATCGTGCACTACATGAATCTCCCCTCATACATTATAGCTGACAATAGGACGTTATTCAGAACACATGGTGGACTGTCACTGACAGAGAGCCACCCTACCATACAGAGATGCTTCAATGCTAGGGTTCAGAGTCTATCTGGGGAGGGACTGGATCTATGTGCTGCTATAGTTGAGCTGATACAGGCTGCATGCACTGATAATGGTGAGTGGAATTTATGGAGATGCCCATTTCAATTATACAAGTGGTAACATATTGTTATACTTTTTGTGGATAGTTTTTGGCGACATTCAGTGTCTAACAAATGGCAGGTGGTGACATTTTGCCTGTTAATACATTGTTTAACATTTTAAATTGTGACCTTAGTTTCCAGATTGGACATTGTAAGTATACTGCTATACCCACAAGGTAAAACATGACTATTAAGTTATGGTTACTATGGTAACACCCTGTGTATGTATATATTTCAGAGGAGAACCAATACGCATAAAATTGATAAAGTTTTGGTTACTATGATAACACCCTGTGTATGTATTATATCAATGGAGAACCAATAAGCATAAAATCAATAAACTTATGGTAACTATGGTAACACCCTGTGCATGTATATATTTCAGAAGAGTACCAAAAGCATAACATTGATAAAGTTTCGGTTACTATGAAAACACTGTGCATGTATATATTTCAGAAGAGTACCAAAAGCATAACATTGATAAAGTTTCGGTTACTATGAAAACACTCTGTGCATGTATGTTTTTCAGAGGAGAACCAAAAGCAGATTGTAGTTGTCCCAGGTATATCTGACTCAATGGTGGCATGGCTTGAGTGTACAGTTAAAGGCACGGTGGCTATCAAGACGCACATCACTCACTTCCTACATACTATCTCACAGACTGATACAGGACGAGTGGCTATCATAAAGAACTTTGATCTCTCAAGGTACATATATATGCAGGGTTGAATATGCGATATGTTGTGTATGAATTTCAATATGTAAGCCTGTGTGTGAGATGTGAAAGTTAATTCATTTAGCCATGTAAGATCATAACCCACATATCTGTGTAATTCATTCAGGTTTTATGTGATGACATATGGATATAGTCTCCAACTTTTTTGTGTTGGTGGTTAGAATTCCTTGTTTGGTGTTTGTAACAAATTACAGGTGATGACATTTTCTATGTTAATGCTTTGTTATCAGTTTAGTATTCAAATATCAATTTTTGAAGATTATATTAGAAATTGTAAACATTGATGAAAATACAAAAGGACATGGTGCAATTATTGGCAAATATCCCTATGGTCAAAATGAATCATTCGTAGGTGTAACATGAAGAATAAATGTCATATAATACTTTGGAAAATATTAAAGTGCTCGGACACACATAAGCTGAGATAGGGATCATTTCGTTCAGTAAGGTTGTATTGACTTACATGGGGCTGTGCACTATTGACTTAACATGAGGATATCAGCAGATCCCAATAGAGGCCATTGGTTTCCATTGATTATCACAGAAATACCAAAAATACACTATGACCTGAATCGATTGCAAACTTAATAATTTCACAATACGACACAAATGGTTTATCTCATCAAATGTGCAAATATGAAGTTTGCAATTGATTCAGGTCATACTTAAAATTAAAAGATTGTACATTTTTTCATCATTTTTTTCCCTACAAAATGGCTAAAGAAAAATGCTCCAAAAACAACTTTTACACTTATCAAATATCATACAAGTTTGTAAAACCAAAGATTATACTATTATATTTCATTATGCAGTAACATATTTGGATAAGATGCAGGGATGCGTAGGATGTAAATGGATTTTGACAGACACAAAAATACTTCCTGGTTTGGAATCTACGCCTCTACACTTCATGATTGAATTATGACCCTTATAAGTGGCCTATACATCAATACAGTGCTGAATATAGGTCAACAAGATACTAGTGTGCATATAAATGGAATAATTGAAGCAGAATACTCATTTTGAAAAATCAGATGAATTATTTTTTTCCCATGGGGAGAACCCAATGGAGGGTGTATAAGGTCCTTTCTTTTAGAAAGAAATGTGCAGTAAAACCTGTGTAAGTGGAACATCTTTGGTACATCTATAAAGTGTTCCACTTTGAAATGTTCCTATTATGAGGTGCTCCAGTAACATAGGTGTTCCACTTTACAGGTTTTACTGTATGTGTATATATTTTATTGTTACCATTTGATTTCCTAGGTTATTGGGAACCCTGTTTGGCCTGGTGAACCTGGGAGATAAGGTAGCTCTGAGCGCAGTAGCCTTGCTCAATAATTTAGCTCTAGAGAAGGCATTCAAGTCACAAATACGAGGAAATATAGAAGAGGATGTTTTACCAGCATTTGAACAGCTCATGGTGAGTAATCATCTCCTCATTTCAATTATCGCTAAATTGAGTAATGATGATAATTTAAAAGAATGCTTTGTTAATGTTGGTTTGCCACCATTTTCTTTAAAATGGTTAATCGTAATTCATACCTTGGATCTTTTGAATGAGATGAAACTATACTCCAAAATAAGAATATGTTTGACAAAATTACTTAGAATAACAAAAATGTGTAAAATAAGTAAAGTTTTACTTACTCAGGCTTTAGTCTAAGAAGGAATCATTTAAAATTACACAGAAAATTTAAACAATTGGCAGTTTAAATTATACCTTGTATTTTTCAGATTACTGGTACCAATATTTCACTGTTGCCATGTGTAATTTCCACGGTTACCAACCTATGTGGTGATGTCACAATACGTAAGAAGGTTGGCCACAGAAGGGAAACCTGGAGTGCATGCTGTAATGTTCTTGTAAGAATTTCAGCATAATCATGTTTTGTTCTTTAATAATATAAGTTTAATTTGAAGAAATAACTCGTTGAAGGAAGAAATGTATCTATTATTAATTTGTTGAGATAATTAATAGCTGGTAGCTTGATCCGTGAAACGCTTAAAATAATGACATGAAGAAAGGGTAATGTTCTGTCAAGGTCGAACATAACTGGAACTAGCCATAAATGTTACCAATTGTTCACATTTCGAGGTTATTAAAATGTGAGTCAATATGGGAGATGAAAAATTTGGGACCAAGTAGAAGTGTTCATATTGAAAGGTGTTCAGATTAAAGAGATTGCTCAGATATACAGCTTTCACTGTATATGATTATAGCTAAACTCTGCACGTATTTATTTTCCAGGCAAAGTACACACCTACTGTCAGTGCAGAAAAAGATGAGGAAATCATATACTCCATATTAGGACTTTTGATTAACATGACAACTGAAAAATATGATGCGATGCAAACATTCACAAGACATTTGTGTGAGAACTGTTGTAAACTGGTGCAGTGTGATACATCTAGAATATACGAGAGATCTTATGCAGTACTCAGTCACATATTACCTAGCAACAAAGAGGCAGTTACCATGGCAATGGAACACAATATCATGACAAAGATCTTAGAGCATTTACAGGTGAGAATTCTTCCTTCTTAATAACATTATATTATTGTCAATTTTTAGTTCATTGAATATTTAGGAATGGTGTCCAAATGTCAATAGTTTTCCCCATATATAATGAAAGTTCAAAGTTGTTAATTTGCTGTTTATGTTCCAGGACTTTTGATATTTAACATCAACAAAATCCTCCTTTAGCCCCCTCCCCCTACAAAATTAACATTGTTCATTAACAGCTGTCTACCTGTCTTCGTTTGGACATCTTCTCCAAGGGGCCAAATTGTAGGTAAGAGTTCCCCTCCTTGAATGATTTAGAAATGACATGTATTTCCTGTAAATGGAGTACACTGATTTCCTTTGCAGATGTATTCCCCCGAAAGTGCAATCGTAAAGCATTGCGCCAGATGTCTTCCCGCATGTACCCAGCTCTCCCCTAATGCAGTCAATACTATAGTGAACACAAAGAAAGGTAAGAAGAACACACTAGATTTGTCCCTTATATATCAATAAAAAACTGCAAGTTTTATCACTTTTTGAAAACTTGACAGTCAATATGGTACAACGAAAATGGGACTTCTGCGCATGTTAAAATTTTTCGTCAAAACTCAACTTTTGTTCAAGTTGATACGATTGTCTTTCGAAATAGAAACTTACCTCATTCGAAAGATCATAAAAGACTTTATCTATACTGAAAATCTTAGATCCAAACATAGTAGAATACGCCGTCAGTCCGCATTTGATTTTTTGAAGTGAGTTTCGTAGATCGTCAGATTTCTCCGACTGATATCGGGTTATCTCAAACTGGTTCGTTTATAAATACGAATTTCTTTACCGTTGTAAGGCGCATGCGCAAAATTGATTTATAAACCTTATTGGTTGGTGGTTTTTCTCATGCGCATACGTGAAGTCTGATGAACACTTATGACGAAGACCGGAGCAAACATTACTAGCTCTTGAACGAAATTCCAAGATTCAGGTCATTTCGCCGTGTTTGCTAAGCGTGTATACGTGAATGACAAGCTGTTTTGAGTAGATCAGGTACCTGTTTTAGACACAACATTGATTTAGCTTGACATTGATGTGCACATTGGCACTTTTGAGCATGTTAATACAAGTTTTTACACTCTTAGCACGAGACGGGTTTCGAAAAATCTGTTATCTGATTCACTCGATTATCGTATGGATATGTATTTCTGCTGACATTTCAACACCACATCACATAGAATTACGATGCAGAATGATAATAAAACACAAAACAACTACTAAATTCCACTTGTTATTTCACAGGAGGTAAAAATGCAAACTGCCTAGATTCTTTGTAAGGGTCGTCAGACATCGGATTGGCCGCCATATTTGAAATGAAAATATCACTAAATAGAGGTCTGCGCATGTCTCAACATTTCGACTGTTGAAATCAAGACAAAAATTATTATTTTTCATTTTAACGCAGAAATATAATTCCAATTTCCTCTTCTAGTCCAAAGATGATTTGGTTTCTTCGGGGTAGTTTTTTTGTCACAACAGCAAGTGGGGACATATTTTAAATAGTCTCCAACCTTTTGTTGATGGTGTTTGGCATCTGTAACAAATGGCTAGTAGTGACACTTTGCATGGTAATGCCTTGTTTTTGATGTATCCAGTATTATGCCCTTAAATCAGCTATAGTTGCAAAACAATTCATGTTGAATACTCGAGACCAAATCACACATTCATAAATACGGCCTAAAAAATCCTAATTATCTGATGTTTATCTTTGTTGCATTGAAGGTCTAGGCACGGTGGTTGGTCTGTTAAAGCCCAATGATGAGGCAATACAGGGTAATGCAGCCCTTTGCCTCACACACTGTACCCAGACACCTGGAGTGGCCAGCAAGCTCACCAAGACAAGCATTATCAAGCATCTCCTCATACTAGCCAGGGATGGACGGAGGCCTGAGCTGCAACAAAACTGTGCCATATTGCTTGCCAAACTAGCTCAGGCAGACACGAGGTACAACTTCATCTTTTCATGTTTTAGATGCAGTAGGCTACTTGTTTGAAACTACATTTCTTTCTCTTAATGAAATCTTACTTCTGGCAGTGTCTCAATTTTTGAAATTTGAAGTAAGTTGTAAGATATTTAAAGACATATTATCTCCAATTTTTGGTATTTTCAGGCATTTGGAGACACTGAGAGAACTACATGGTATAGAGATACTAGCAGACTGTATGAAATTCATTAAATAACCAAACTAAGAAATGTTTCAATGACACACAAGATCCTCTGCTTATCTCACCTGCTTCCCTTGTGAAAAGGGGAAGGGGTTCAGAGAAGGGACAGGATGTCGTAACCAAAAATTCTCCACCCTCTACTCTAGGCACATGCTGTCCGTAATATCCAATCCTGACAAAATGCATGGGACATGTGAGAATCCTGTCTACTTATTGAATCCATGGGACATACGAGTTGGTATAGAACATGTAGGAAAAGCTACAGGATAGCAGTCTTAGGACTGTCACAGGGTTATGAAATGTTCCAGGCAAAATACAAGATGGATATATTTGTATGGAGACACAATCAACAGGAAACAAGGCATGAACATAACAAAATGTCACCAACAAGTTGCTCACAATATTATGAGTTCAATATTGAGTCAGATTTGAACTTCTGAGTACTTATAGATGATTTAAAAAAAACAATTGGTCAATTTTAAGCAAGTTGAAAAAGTATATTTTTGACCTTGAGAAGGTCGTTGAAGGCCAAATCTATAGTCAGATTTGAACTTTTGAGAACTTGTAGATGATTTTGAAAAAAAGTTGAAAGTACCTTTTTGACCTTGAGAAGGTCATTGAAGGTCAAATCTCAACTCAGATTTGAACTTCTGATAACTTGTAGATAATCTTGAAAAAAAGTTGAAAAAGCAAGTTGAAAAAGATCTTTTGACCTTGAAAAGGTCTTCTGCCAAAGTTTGGCATTTAACAATAATAAATCTGGGTTGAGTTAAAACAAAATGTATATGTCTGTAAAAATAGATATATCAGAATTCATATTGCTATGGTGTCCAACTTTTTTATGATGGTGTTTGGCAGGTGGTAGTCAGCGTTTGGAGACTGTAACAAATGGCAGGTGATGACATTTTTGTTTTTCATATTGTATTGCTCCACCCTCATGCACTATGCATATGCTAGTACATGTTCCCATCTTATTGAATTCCAATATGGAAATACAGGATTATTTCATCCTTGGTGTCAAGGGTATTTAAATTTTTCCATACCTGTGATAGAAGTGAAGCCTGGATTCTTTATTTCTTCAATAAAATACACTGCTATTTATGTCCATTATATGGAGGTACTTCTGATGTGTGCTGTACTATTCATTTAATGTTATAGATGTAAAATGAATGGTTGGAAACGTGTCTTCATTAAATGTAATGTACAGAATTCCAGACATACAACACATGTCTCTAGGCATTCTAGTACTTATTAATTTACATAAGAAAAATATAATTTATGCAATTATTTAACTACTGCACTGTTTTATTATTCATTTCCTCATATAGTTCATAAATATAATTTATAGATATACATGTAGTAATAAGGAATTAACATATAACATATTTAAAGAAAAACTTATATCCATATTAATATTAATAATAACAACAATTAAAATAGTTTTTATCACATTCATTCTACTATAGAGATATCTCCCCTATGAGTTGAGTCCAGTCATGATTATCAAAAGCATGATTATCAAAAACAGCAATAAGTGAGATATTGTGTTCCATGTAATTGAATAAAGAGATATTCTCAAAATGAGCCATTTCTTGCTTCTGTATACTGGACTGTATAAACCTTTTCTGAATATGAGGAGTCATTCTTTATTCTTTATTTGATGCATCAGCCTCTGTTCATTTCTATGGATGGTAAATCACATTGCACTGTTTTAAAATGAAATACATTGTTTATCGATTTTAGGCACAGATAAAATGATCCTTACACCAAGATTCCTTCTCTAATATCTACTAACTGAACACATTTAAATGTAAAACTGAACACAAAAGTGGAGTAAAAATGAGTGAAATAACACAAGCATGAATTAAAAAATCATTTTCTTGATAATAAAAAATAGCAGAACCCTTTCAATAAATGTACTTTATTTTTTATCCATTAAAAATTTAATTTTGTGATATGACATTTTTTAACTGAACACTGTGAAATTGCATTAATGAACTCAAAACACAAAGCCCTCTGCAGTTCTATTCCACTAAATGAAAATGACTGGATATTATTTCAATCCCATGTATCCATGATAATTTATTTTTAAACATCTAGGGGTCCATTTCTTGAAACATATCCATTGTTGGATATCTTTGTAACCATGGTGACCATGATGTCATATGAGAACAATAGATAGGCATTCCTTTTAGGAATGCTTTAAGAAATATATCCCACGTATTAAAGCTTTAATATTGTGCTCAAAATGCCAACTAGGATTTCGAGCAATTCTATCAGAGCATTGCTTCAGTTCAAATCTATACTATACATACTACTCTGTATGTACGCTTATATAAGAGCCATGTATTATCCTGTTATCGGCCTTCTGTTAAAACATCATAGAACTGCATTTAAAAATAATCCATTGAGTATAAACCAACTGCAATTAGTTCCCGACTGTTCCTTCTTACTGGGTCTGCTGAACACCATTCCCATTAGCTGTTTCATTGAGCTGTGCCTTTGCTGCTGTACATATGGTCTTAAGTTCTTCAACGAGTGTTTCGTGTCTGTATGCTACCCTGATATCTGGTACATTAGTCCTGCTAATGTCATTACCAGCTACACCCTCCTTTGTGTAGTTAGGGCCTAACCAATGCTGCTTCACCTTGAGGAAATAGCAAATAGGAAGTAGTAAAATAGGAAATAGTAAAATGGGAATTTTTCACTCAGTTTATAAATATAAGATTCAAGTTTTTACTTCAATTGCAAAGCTAAATTTTGAAGAATATTACTTAATTAATGATTAATTAATTTTACTTAAAAATTTTGTAACCCAAGACTTTTTTTATTTTAGTTGTTTGGAACATTTCCCTACTCTATTGTGTTGGGTTCTATTGTATTGTATTGATTTAAATTGTACTGTACTGTCCTTTACTGTACTGTACTGTACTAAACTGTACTGTACTGTGCATAACTGTACTGTACAGTATTGTGTTATGTTGCAGTGCATACTCTAGAAAGCATGTACTGTACCTTGTGTGAAAATCCACTCATGACAACACTGTTCTTGGCCAGCTCACACATGTCACATGATGACATCTTCCATACCTGGGCTGCAATGCTGTATTCTTCCATCAGAGGTTCCTACAAACAACAAGCAAATAATTATTTACAGATTTCTACTGAGCAGACTTCTATTTACAGTACATTTATTTAAGAAGTGTATTAACTGACCACAATGAAAACATTTTAAAATCCAAACCAACCCATTTCATACAATAACCACAATTTCAGCTCATACCCAACCCAACACAACTATTGAAGCAAGATACCACCAAACTAGAAAGCAACCCCACCATATAAGCTATATATCTTCCCTATGAAACATACCCCGCATTTTGAAGCCCACTCCATGAGAAGCATACATGAAGTTTATGTGCCTAAAAACCTTTGAATCAATCCTCCAGCTCAGAACACAAGTTCACACTATCAATCAAATACTACTAAACCCAATGAACCATCCTTATAAATAAACCCCAGCCTATGAAACGTACCTTAGTGTAATGAAACTGAAGAGGGTCATCTGTAGAGAGGGAGAGGTTCAGACCCCTGGCCAGGAAGTCTGGGAGGGGGTTCCTGTGGTAGTTGAGGAACAGGGAGTTATTGCTGAGTGGCGACATTGCGATTCCTATCTGGGCTAGATAGTACAAGTATTGGAGAACAGGGGCCTGCAATGAAGAAAATAATATACAACATCTGGAACTCATGAGCTACATTGTGTACAATGACACTATCCTTCACAGAAGACAGTATTTTGCATGTTTTGACATAGTGATTTGGCTTTCCATGAAAATTAGAGTACACTGGATTATTTGGTTTTACGGATAGGAGATTTTGCAGACTAGCCCACAAATGACATATCACATGCATGTTTTGGACCCCTAAAATATATCTCCATTCAGAAAAAAATGTTAAGTATGAATAAAGAATGATTTAGGTCTATGTGAAAAACAACAATGAATTTTAATTTTGCATGAAGTTTCTGTACCCCCACATTTCGAACTTACATAGATTTTGTCCATTACCCTATGTAAGTTTGGAGAGGGGTAAAATCAGGGTGAATCAGCAAAACCAAATGAATCTCACCTTTCTAAGAAGCAGACCATGAGATATGTTCTCTGATAGCATGAACCCTGTAACTAAATGATGGACTGGACCTGCCTCCCCACAATGTGGACGTAGCACCAATGTATGAAGACCTCGTTCTCTGTAATACAAAAGTGGTATTTTTAAAGGTTATAGTGAACAAAAAGGGATTCATAAAAGTCGAAACATTTTAATTCTTTCATTTATTCATGGGTGGATGGAGGGATGAAAGATGGATGGGATGGGATTGATGAAGGGATGGATGGATGGATTTGGTAGATGCAGTGATGGCATGGCTTTGGTGGATGGCTTTGGTGGATGGATAGATGGATGGGATGGGATTGGTGAAGGGATGGATGAAAGATGGATGGGATCGGATTGATGAAGGGATGAATGGATTTGGTAGATGCAGTGATGGAATGGCTTTAGTTGATGGATAGATGGTGTGGATGGAGGGATGGATGGAATTGAGGGGATAGATGGAGCTCTATATCCTCTAATATCCTACCTTCTGAAGTTGTTGAGAACTGAGAGGTTTGCATAGAGGTAGTAGAGGTAGTAAGAGTAGGGAGGGTTCTCCTTTGATGCCCATTTCTCTGGTAGAGGACTCTCTTTGTCAAATACAAGATTCTCTGTCTTGCTTTCATCATCTACTGAGTCAATGCCAGTAACCTAGAATAAATACATTATGCCAGTAAAAAGAGGCACTTGTGTTCTAAAAAATCAGATAAGTACATTTTAATGAAAGAATATGATACTTATACAGTTACATGTAATAATGGACATTTATTTCATTTTTTGTCAATCATAATTGTGGTGATGAATTACAGCCTTAGTTAAACCTAACCTAACACATGATAGAGTTCACATCAGTTTGTACTGAGGGGATAGATGAAATCCTCAGACTTCCAATAGTCTATATTGTACAACCTATAATATTACAACTGTACAATTTAAAGGAATTTTTTACCATATACTTACATGCTGCAGGAACTGGTGTAATTGTGGGTGACTTTTAGGATCATTAGTCACCTCAAACAGTGGCCGGAATATGTTCTCAAGCAGTTCTTGAAAGTTATTCAGAAGCTTTTTGGCCTTGTAGACATCACTGAAATGTCAACATAATTGCTAAATACATTTACAGTGAAACATGTAGAGTAGAACACATCTTGAAGCCCTTTCATCTTTCAACTTCAATTATTAATAATCAATTCAAAAAATTAAATTACTTCATTTTATTTTAATACCTTCTCAAATCCATGCAAATTCATTAGCTGAAAAATATTCTGAAGGATTTAAAATATTCATTTAAAATGAACAAACTAAAACTGGAAAATAACATGAAAACTCACAATAGCCTGGGTATCTGTATCAGCCATCGTACATTATCGGAGTAGACCTGGTGTTTTGTGGCCCATATTGCTAGTTTGTCCCATTCGTCAGCACTTTTTCCATATATGGACAGACGATATTCAGCATTCTGGTATTTACTCTCCTCAAGATCTTCACAAGTTTCCTAATGAATAAAAACAACAAAATATACAAAATAAAATAAAATGAGTGGACTCAAATTTAAATAAATAAAATGAGTGGACTCAAATTTAAATAAAAAATTACATGTTCAGGGCAACTTGTACAAGTACACGGAAATTGAAATGGCAAGATACAATTTATTTTCAAATGTGTTTTGAATTTATGATTAGTTGAAAGAGCGCACTTTTGAGTTCATCATATGATCTTGCAAAGAAAACCTTGTGTCATGTTAAGAAGGCAAATTCTCAGACCTGGGTTTAGAATGGGACAAATGGGAACCAATCTGCTCATGGGAGGTCAACTGACTTCCAACACTTAATACAAAGTAATCTATAACACAATAATTTGTGACCCTTTATCTTAAAATTACAGCTTACCTTGATGACATGTGCAAAGTATTTTCCTCCAATGTAGTTATCAGTTTTGATGAAGATCTCCCTGAGTCTGCTCTCACCAATAGGATTGTACTTAGCATTGAACTTATCAAACCTGTGGAAAGTATTTCGGTCCTGGAACAAATAACAAAAAAACATGCTCAAAATTTTCCATGTCATCAAATGTAATTTGTTATTTTTTTAACATTAAGGCTTCACAGCTATAAACTTTCAGCAGTAATTTGTTGTCAACTAAAATTTTTTGATAATGGCTTATTTTAATTAATGACTTGTTTTAATTATAGACGAGGTGTATTTTAATTCAATTACAGCAAAGAGTGATCATTCAAATAAGCATTTTTACTGCTGTTTGGTTATGTTATAAAGTTGTTAACTTTAAATATTATGGCTTCACTGCTATATACTTACAGCATGCACATCCAGCATGTCAACACTGAGTTCATAGGGCGTCAGATTCAAACTCTCAAAAACCTAAAAATAAATCAAAACTTTAGATCTGTTGAGGATGAATAAATGAATATATGTAAACACAGTCATAGTTATTTGTGACATTTTCTAAACACATTTTAAAGTCTTGTTGTTTTTTAATAGAATGTACAATAATATTTATTCAAATCCCATTGATTTACAAAAATAATCAAAATTATAGAAAAATGCTCATTCTTTAGGAGTTTCTTACGTTCTCCTTTTTTGAAGCATATTAAGGATTTTAATTCAATGTCTCATAATAAGTCAGGCTTTTAATCTCTCAAGATGAAGTAAAAAATTAGAAAGCAAGAATATAGTATTATTAGCACTCTACAGAAATAGGAGCAATATCGACAATATATTTGCCTAAAGCATAAACTAACAGGTTGATGTGCATGGGGTTGTTAATTTATTCTACTGTTAAGGTATGGAGTGTTGAATTTGATAATGAAGCTGGAATGTCATAATAGGTATCAAGTTCTATTTGAAAGAACTTACCTGAAAATTAGCCTCTAGGTCAACTTAGTGTTTGGCAATGTTATTCATATAGGCCATAGCGAACCCATCATTAAGTTATAAGGAACATCTATATTAATGTCACACTTTATTTGATAAATGTCATAAAATGAATATATTTTCTGAAAAGTTGCTCACCTACTCATAATATTCATAAAATTCGCCATTTAAGTGTTCTCATTAAAAATGAGAATAATGAAAATGTTTTACTTGGATTTTTTCTGAAAATATATGTATTGACAAAGGTTTCTCATTCCTCAATCAATTTGATTTACCGGTATCAAGGATTTTTATGATCCTTTATCAGATTATGTCAAAAATATGATGATTCTGAACAGAATCTCTATAAATGATGCATCTTGTTCTATGTTAAAACTAAACACATTCAACACATCGTAACATGCCTCTGCCTTAACTCTTACCTGTTTAAGGGTAAGCTCCACTCCTTCACGATTTTTCGTAACAATGTCTGTAGGATTGCGTTTTACTGTACTTTTGATAAAGCGTAATAAGTGTTTTTGATTCATACAAGATGAAGCGTGTACGTGAGTGTCCACCTGTTAGATAAAAACACACAGGAAAAAGCAGGTTAGATATAGGATCACACTGAAGTTAAAGGCACACGCTTTATCCCAAACTCCTGTTAGGTTTGTTAGCTAGGATGAGGCGGGAGTGACAACCACACATGTCAACTCCATCACATGTTACTTTAGGCTGGTAAGATAGGGAAAGATAGAAGTTAAAGCCACACATTTAATTCACTCTCTTGCAACCTAAGGCTAGGGTAATGAATTATTATGTTTTTAGCATTACAACATTTATTTTGACATGTTGCAGAAGTATGGTGGGATGTAATTTGAAAAAAAAAATTCCTCAAAATGACTAAATAGGGATATAAGGAGACACAATTCTAATCACATATTGAGTAATTATGTGGTTTTAAAAGATGGAAAGAAATATGCTGAACATGTAATTAATTTACCCTAGCCTTTAATCAACAAAAATGTTCGGCTGTTAAAATATAACAGAGAACATTTTTAAAAGAATAAGAGAGAGGAATGAAGCTTGCCTGCACAGGAGGGGAGAACCCGTAATGCAATATTAACATTGCAGTATGGTTAACTGTTTCTGTAAGTGAGGTTAGATTACTCAATACAAAACCAGAATGACTACTTGTGATTCTGTGATACAATCAAGATGACTTGGATAAAGCACACTTGGGATAACCATGATGCCAAAATTCACTCTGGGTTGACAGATTTAGTTGGCCAAGTCCAGGTTCAATCAAAGTAATAACCAATCTTCCCTACTGATTCTAAGCCTCGATTACTTCATCCTAGTCCATATAAGAAAAATGACAACAAAAATCTCAAGTGTTCAATCGGTTTTGTATCCTCAGAAACCTACACAACCTTACTTCTTTCAGCGAGAGCTCATGCCCAGATGGATCCATATACGCCTTGTCTTCAGCATATAATTTCACAGTTTTCTTAATAAACCGTAATAGATGCTTCTGGTTCATACATGACGAAGCATGTATATGAGTATCAACCTGGGAAACACACAACTAACATAAAATGGAGAAATATTTCATCATTTCAATAGCAAGGTCAGGTTTGGTGGATTGGCAAAATTTTTTCATCCAATATCAGAACAACTCTAGACTGATTGCAAAAATGCCTACATGCCGATTAGTGGATTTCAATGCTAGTATCCTCTAGGGGGGGGGAGGAGTTACTGAGATGCTAAGCCCATAAAACATAAGTGATAGAGTAATGGCAAAAATGATAGACTGATTGTGTACAATCGTTCACGTTTTTTTAAATCAAAGTAATCATGAAAATGTGTTGTAATTGTATTGTTGTAAATGTATTGTGTACAATGGTTTATGTTTTTTTTAAATTAAAGTAATCACGACCCCCCCTCCCCTGTAAATGTCAGACTTACTTTAAAATTTAAAAAAATAGAAAGTACACACTGCAAAAAAATAATGCAGATGAGACACCATGCCCGAAAGGATAATATGTCATTGGCTTGGTTTTTATAACTGACAAAAATTCACCACTAATCACTGTCATGGTTAATAAATGATATAACATAAGGTACCAGTATTCCACAAAACAAATATACGAGGGGCGATCAGGAATTTCTGGACCGTTGGCTCTATTTTTGCCATTTTTCATCCTTTCTTAATATTTTTTTCACACAATGTAACCCAAATAAATAGGATCACACCATGAAGATTCCATTGTTCTTTGACATCATTATCCTATTATTTTTGTTACCATGGTAACTGATGACGCAATAAGGTGGGGCTCGCTATTTTGTACTTCGATTTGCTATAAAGAAAACCATGAAATTTCAAATAGATTGTAGTTTTAGCTTTTTCAATCAGAATTTAAATTGAATGACAGGTGATTTCAAATCAACTTAACTGAATGAAAGGTGCCCTCGGTGTCATCATGGTTCTCCAAAAGTGACTTCAGCACACTATTCGTAAGGAGAGGGGGCTGGAGTTCTTCAAGAGAATTCGTCTAAACAATGATAACGCACCACCCCAGAGAGCGAGCCTCACACAAAATGTTATTGATTCCATTGGTTTTGGCCGTGTACCACACGCATCGTATTCCCCAGACTTAGCTTGCTTTGATTTCTATCTTTTCCCCACAGTGAAGAACAAATTACACTGAACAAGGTATCAACTTTGAAGACAGTAATATAATAAGATCATTTGGGAATTGACACGCCAATGTTACAAAGTAGGCAAAGATGGCCTGTATCGCATCTTTACGGACCGGGTGAAAATTAAGGCATAACAATTAAATGCTTACAAAATGCTGGTAACTTCTTTGAAGGATTATGGAATAATAATTACAGTTACAATGAACATTAATGCATATACTTAATGAAATAATACAATCTATTACAGTATGTCACATATTCAGCAATGAATACAGTGTCTAAACATCATATGAAATTACTGTTGATTTTTCAAATTTGGTACTTTTTCTGAGCTCCAACTCATTGCGTCACCGATTACCATGGCAACAAAAATAATAGGATAATGATGTTGTTGAACAATGAAATCTTCATGGTGTGGTCCTATATATTTAGGTTATATTGTGTGAAAAAAACACTAAGAAAGAATAAAAAAATGGCAAAAATAGAGCCAACGGTCCAGAAATTCCTGATCACCCCTCGTATATATCGGAAGCTCACTCAGTGTTCTTAAATGACCCCCCCAAATGAGGATGCTGCATTTCTACAGCAGGTAAAAAACACTACGTTTAGTTGCTCTATGCAGTATGAAAATACACAAAAAATTCAATCAGTCAAGATAAACCCCCAAATGTCTGCAAAAAAAGCATGCGAAAACTTAAGTGTGTCTTGATATTAGTCAGGTACATGTATAACTAGAAGTGGGTGGGTGGGTTTTTTAAAATGGCCTGTTTTCAATACAGGAGCCTTACAGCTTCACTCATTAATTTATTCACATGCTGAGTAGGGGGGGGGGGTGTTGCGGCTTCAATCCATAATCAATAAATAAGGTTTGACTTATTTAACTAAATGGAGAACCACCATCAATCATTAACACAAATCAATTTCAATATTCGTTTTTTCAACACCAAGACCCTATAAACTCATGAAATTGAAATGTAAACTGGAATGGAATGTTCAGCGCAATTAACCTGAAAGGAAATAAAGCAAGGTACTCTGTGTTAATCACTGGATATAACGAAGCTCACTGCAAAGCACATGTGCAAAAATGCCTCACTTACACACATGGTGATCATATATAAAACCTTGCCACATTTTGCCACATCTTGCCACATTCTGCCACAGTCATATTACAAGAGTGAAGTTTTAAATAAAACCTCACAAGCATTCACTTCATTGTGATTTCACTTCGCAAGGACCACATACATGACCACCATGGTATTTCAGTAAGGCCAACAGCATTGATGCCACACTTCATAAGTGCTGATACCTCACTAAGAGTCATTTCCTTGCCAGTACTTGGGTCTAGATAGGCAGTATCACCTGAATGACGCTTCATTGTATGTTTAATGAAGCGAAGCAAATGTTTCTGGTTCATTGCTGATGCAGCATGGACGTGAGTGTCCACCTAGAACATAACACAGCCAGCTTTGCAACACGTAACATGCATACTGATCAGTTAACATAAATAGACATGTAATTTCTGTATTTAATCTCTTGAATACAAAAACAATGATTAACATATATTACAAATAACATACAAGGGAATCCAAAGAGACAGACAGGTCAGCAAAGAATTTTTCATAAAGTTTCACAAAATATTTATCCAATTTATTCAAATTATGTTTTAAACCATATAGGGCTTGGATTTTCCCCTCATTAAACACTATATGGAAGATGTTCTGATTCACAGTGTTGGAGAGGTTATGAACTAATTATTTAGCAAATGAGACAATCCTAAAGAAGGCTCTCTGCCTGCTTTAATTCCACTAATATCCAAGGAATTCCCTCCATTGAGCTTTGAAATAATACACAGATAAATGTAATAACATAATAAGGTAACACCATTCTAGGTAGATTCGGAGAAAGAGCATCATTATCAATATAATTTTTGATTGTAATTTCTCAATCCCTCTGATTCTACCTTCAAAGTATATAATCTTTAATTTTTAAACTGAGCGATATTTACTATTATACCACTCTAAGTCCAATTACAGTTGTATAACATGGGTCTATAACAACGATATACAGTGGAGAGTGGTATATCGTCATCGTATACAACTCCTCCGTATACACTCCAGCGTATACCACTGTAGAAGTGCATTCTGGGAACTAATGAATATAGACTGACGAACAAGGTGTATATTTTGTTACACAGACTGTTGTGTCCCTCGAATGGGCGGAGTGAATAAGGAGTTCCGACACTTCAAAATTTTCATAATTTCCTAAAATCAAGTGACGTCATAAATGGTTCCGGCATGATTTGCTAGAATCAAGCCACGTCATAAATGGTTCGAGATCAACATCGGCATTATTGAGTTGGCTATGGGATATTTTTATGGTTTTTAATTGTTATGATTGTATTCGAATCAACTGTAATTGAACTTAGAGTGGCATGATAAGATTATAATGGTTAATTCTGTATATCGTGCATTTTATACTCTCGAGAGAATATAATATATTCACTCGTTCGCTACGCTCACTTGTGAATATATCATATACTCACTCGAGTATAAACACGATATACAGATAGAACCATTATATAACCTCATATTATTCAATTTTATATGAATACATGTATTTATAAATACTGTAAGTATATTGGAAATAATTCAACGATGCTGACCTTCCTTATGTTATAGAAGTCTCTGTGTGGAACTTCCTTCTGAGCTGCAGATTCCCTCAGCTCATTCAGCAAAACATGGAGCTGGTACTTTGAGGAGAGATAATTGAGACGTCTGTAGCAGAATGACTTCCTAGAATTGGATTTAACATTGAAAATAATTGAAGAATAAAAGAATTAAAGAATCAAATTATTCACATTAATAGGTATTATTTAATTGGCTAAGAGTATTCACATTGCAATGGCTACAGTTAGGAAATGCATTGGCTAAAAGTGTTTATACCACTCTAAGTCCAATTACAGTTGTATAACATGGGTCTATAACAACGATATACAGTGGAGAGTGGTATATCGTCATCGTATACAACTCCTCCGTATACACTCCAGCGTATACCACTGTAGAAGTGCATTCTGGGAACTAATGAATAAAAAAATCATGAAAATTTTCATGATTTCCTAGAATCAAGTGACGTCATAAATGGTTCCGGCATGATTTGCTAGAATCAAGCCACGTCTTAAATGGTTCGAGATCAACATCAGCATCATTGAGTTGGCTATGGGATATTTTTATGTTATGATTGTGTTCGAATCAACTGTAATTGAACTTAGCGTGGCATAATAAGATTATATAATGGTTCATTCTGTATATCGTGAATTTTATACTCTCGTGAGAATATAATATATTCACTCGTTCGCTACGCTCACTTGTGAATATATCATATACTCACTCGAGTATAAACACGATATACAGAAAGAACCATTATATAACCTCATATTATATTACATTGGTGATTGGGTAAAGGGATTTATATTGTATTGACTAAGTGTTAACAGTGTAGTGGATAACTGTTATACATGTATACACAACAAGGACATTGGCTAAAATTATTTACAATGCACAGGAAGAGTTATCAATGCAATAATATTTCTGAAAATTGAAACAATTGTAAATGATAAGATTGATTTGATGATGTTACTATGATTCAATCATTAAAGCCAATTCATTCAAGTTATTGCATGCAATTCAAAATATTTTCAAGATATAACCTCCTGGCTCGTGATACTTACAAGGGACCATCACTGATAAAAGCTAGCAGCATATTCTGTTCCTTTAGAAAATCTTGTAGTTTGGGATATGGAACATTAACTGGCTCTTCTCTAGCAAAGGTATCGCTATTCTTGTAGACCTTATATACACCATCTTGTATTTTGAACTTGCATCCACAGTCGTCCAAAAACTCCAGTTTAAATGGGTCACCTGCTGTAGACGGGGGGTGAATTGGATGGTCTGAAAACATAAATAGGATCTTTAAATACTTGGAAAATTTTAGAAATGTGTTTCAACATTTCATCTTTAATGATTATATATTCCATATGATAATATTAGCTTGAATCATTTAATATATCATAACAATCTAAATCCTTTACAATTAGAAATGTGATTATTCTCAAAAAAGCAGGGTATATGTGTGTTTAAATGTATGTATTAAAATGAATGAAGTAAACCAAATCACACAATATTTGAATGTAATAATGAGTACACACTGGCTTACTGGACACAATACAGTTAAAAAATTGATGATTCATAGTGGAAAATGTTCATGCCAGTAGCGGGATGTGTCAGGTCTACCTGGTGTGGAATAGAATAACAGAGAGTATTGGAACCACAACTGATTATTATTGTATTAGGTGAATGATGATTAATCATTACCATGCTGTTTTAAAAACAATGAAGAAATTTGTTTATACTCTTTTACCAGGCACTTTGTTAGAATAGGGGGATGTATATCACAATACAATAGTTATTTGTGTGGGAATAAAATTTCAATAGTAAAGATAAAATAAAAAGAGATAAGGTAAGAAAAAGAAGTGGAAATTCAACAGCACTCTCATAACGCTGGGGGACATCTCTGACCATAAAATGTATACCTCTACCATCCACTGATCCTGCTAAAACAATTTCAAAACTCAATGCCAATACACTTGACAAACACAGAATTTAAAAATTGAGATGCATAATTAAAGGGCATATTCTCAGAAGTTTAACAGAATAAAATTGAGTGCCTTAAAGCATTCATAGTACATGTACTATATTAACGTAGCATTTTGGATTGTCTTGCACTGTCTTAATAAGAATGTACCAAGATTGCAATATAGAAGAAATATACAAAGTTTTGTATTTTTTGATTTTCTACCTGCAATGCTCTTCATATCTGCATGAATACAATCTTTGGCAATGAATTCATCATAACTGTGTCTTTCTTCAAAACCTTGGAGAAATCTGCTTGCTGTCTTGCAAAATGACTGTAGGCCTATTGCCATATACTTTTCCCGTATCATTAAGGCCTTCACTAATGCTTCAGATGCTTCTTTCAAGTCTTCCAATGGTACCTAAAATTCAATAAATAAACATAAAAAATAGTCAATCCCATGAAACAAAATGTCAATGACCAATGGCAGTAAAATCTGCCAGCCATCATTTCTGATAATAAATAAAGAATCCAACAGCCATTTTATTTATCAGCTTTTGAGCACTTGATTAGGGCATATCATTCAAATTATGAAAAATTATCCTATAAATGCTATTTAAGTTATCTCCTGGATGGATAAGAGTGGGAACCAGTTTTATATCCCAAAGAACTTCATTCGAAAGGGATAATGAATCAAAAAGCAAGGAATCAACATCAATATTCACTGCAACATCAAATATTCAACATCAAAAAACACTGCAACAATGAATGATTTAAATTGTATTTAATAATATACCCCTATATAATTATCTGGTTTGCCCAAATTGCCCTAAATACTCTTTAACTAAGAATAAAATATTACTTATATCTATTGTTATATTGTTATATATTGTTATAATCAAAATTTCAGCATTGAAATTATCTATGTAATATCAATAAGATGTGAACATGGCTGATGAGAAAAGATTTTGGGTATTGTGCAAACATATGATTTGAATTTCATCACATTTCATTACCCCTACATCCTCAATATGTTCTTTATGGTGCACTATCTGCATTCGTTTAAAAAAAGGAAAAATCTCCAGATCATCTGTTTCTTCTTTGGGTAAATGCTCTATGGGGCCACCGGCGCTGGTATCTGAGCCTGAACCCCTGAGATATGCCATACTTCTCTTTTTTATTTAATTAGCTATGCCTTGTTCTCATGATCACATGATTTATACAGCTTCTCTATTATCTCCATAGCAACAAAGTAAATGTAAATGTGCATCACAATGATATTTTTGAAATGTGATGGTTCTTGGAAATATTTCATCATTGTCTCCTATGTTGATTAGAGGCACTCTTTCATTTCATTCACCTATTGGCTATATTGATTGCTTTCCATAGGAAGTATTACTTTCTAGTAGCATCCGATTACACTGCTTTTATTATTCCATATGATTAGAGTGAATGCAAATATCATTTTCTTGCTTCAAAGTCACTCAATGTCAATCCTACAAGAAACTGTGAAGCAATATCAACCGTGTAAGTAGTACCTGGGTATGTTTCTCTACAGTTCCACTTAGGTTCCGTAGTCTTCCAAAAATCAATATCTATTGTAGGCAATATGATATTCCCGAGACATGAAATTCCAATTTGAAGCTTTATTGTTATATAACAAATACGTTGTGTGGAAATTATGGGTCTTATTTAATTTGAATTAACAATTATTATGGACACCATGTCCATGTTCTCCTTATGGGCTGAACAGGTAAAAATATCTTTTAAATATTTGTGTTTTAGTACTATATTTTTTTTGAAAGAATAACAAAAAATGTTAAAGAATCTATAAAGTAAAATAAGGGCTATTATAAGGGCTATTATAAGGTTTGTTGATTTTTAAATCAGATGGTATAATTATTCATCTAAAGCATTGGACTGGTTCTTTTTACAATTAATATTATATTATGTATAATATTCTATTCTATATTATATTGTGTATTAAGTAAAAAGTAATATCAATCCTACTGACAAACCATATTTTTGCAATACAACTGACTAGATAATAACTGTACCAGGTATATGATATGAAATGAAACATATTTGTTACGTGTTCATAATACACATGTAAATAACTGTATAGTGACCCATGTGTCGGAGAGACTGACATATATAAGAGTCAATAAAAGAATAAGCAATATCAATCTATTTGCAGAGTAATTTGACTATTATTCCTTCCATATGATAAAAATAATGAAAAAACAAAATAGATCATTTCAATAGCAACAAGGCATTAACATGCAAAATGTCACCACCTGCCATTTGTTACAAACACTGAACACCAGACATCACGACGAATGGTGAACATTGTCACAAAAAAGTTTGAGACCATAACAACATGTCACCACTTTTGATGGTGACATAAAAAGGGATGCTTATCACATTGTGAAGAACCACATGTTAACAAAACTATACTAAGTTTGGTTACCGATTTGAATATTACAATTCTGTGTAAGAAATCCAAATCAAAGGCATCAACAAAAACCCTGGCACATATTTCATTATGAAGTATTTAGCTGTTAAGATGACCTCTAGATAGGTTATTGAAATTCCCCATGAGTTGATATATCATGCCAGTGGGACTATAACAATTTATTATATCATTAGAATGCCTCTCACTTTCTTATTGGGTAATAGCTGCTCCGAATGATCTAATTTTGTACATATATTCATAATGGTAGAAAACTCTGAATATCATGCCATTTAGGCTGTGGCAGACAGAGGAAAACATAAATAGATTATCCTATATGAGGTTTAGGATATTGGAATTATCCTGAAGCCAATATAATATACATGTAGATAAAATAATAATCATACCATCCAAGAGATAAACACGATACTATGAACCAAACATGGGACGATTTGTTTATCATATACAGTACTATATGTTATTTGTTTATTCATTAATAGTTGAACATTTTCTAGGAGTGTTTGGCTAATGCTTATAATTATGTGTTTCTTCAAAAGACCTTTATTGTTTATATAGTTATTACATGACTGTGTTTTTCACTATTTTAAATTTTTATGAAACATTTCTTATCTACCTTGTTAATCCAGAATGTAAAATGTTGACTGTGTCCACTAAAATGCCGTTAATGACTTACCCCACTGTTATCCTCTCCACTTATAGAGACTCGCTGGAATAGAATTTCATCATCTTCCACCTGTAACCTCTCAGTCTCCATTGCTTGGTAGGCACGTTCACTAGTCTCATTGCTTTGCTGCTGTTGGAACCTGGGGGTAATAGAAGCACATTCATAATTGGATAGCACAGATATACACTCGGCTTATTGGAACATTGATAAAAAAACATGTCTCATTTATCACATCTAAATCCTTGGTGATTTGATCAGAAACTGGGTTATTGTAGATTTATATGGCATGGGGGCATGTTATTTGGAACTTGAATCATGAATTATATAATACAGGGTGACCTAATAAAATGCAACCCATGAGTAAAATTAACCTTTAGCATGCTACCGGCGAGCGTAGTCGCCCGTGCTTAACAATCCCCGGCAACTGCCGGCGACTCCAGTCGAATTTAAACTTTCAAAAATTTAACTTTTTCCCGCCGGTCTTATGATCCAATCAGATTGCCCGATTTATTTAGTCCTTACGTGGGGACTTCCTGTTGACCTAGAAATGGCGATGTTTTGAAAAATATTTCTCAATTCAACGATTTAAACAGTGTTTAAGTCGTTTTTAGTGAACAAATCATACAAAATGGCGGCCAAATACGATCACAACGAACATGTGGAGGAAATGGATCGCGATTTCGAGCTCTTTATGCTCTTGGAAGCCGATAATGGTCATCGAAAATAGAAACTAGAATATTTTCTGAACTGAAAAATGAACATTCGATCGCTGCAAATTCAGTTTTGGATTCTGACCAGACGTTGAATCTCCACAGGGGCGAAGCGGCGGATTCCGGAGGAGTATTCATGGTATATTTATGCCCAGTCCTGTTTATTTATGTAAAAAATTCATGAGAACATTTTTTTCATGAGCCAGGCCAATGTATCTTCTCTTTGTGAAAATTTTATCCAGATTCATTCAGTAGTTATTGAGATATTAATTATTTAGTCCAGGCATATCATTTTTTGCACTCTTTGAAAAATAAGTCAGTCGCGTGGGATATATTTGCTGAATTAAGTTAGCATGCAGAAGGTTAATATAACTCATTCATATTGTGAGTACTTTGTGAAAGTTGGCAGAAGTAGACCTGAAGATATACCTGTGTTGATTGGTAAGTTTCAAACATACAAGTAATATTTAAATCTAAGAAGGTTATACTAATTTCAAATCACACACCAAGTATCATCAATCCTGCTTTGGCCTATACCAGAAGTTGATGGACAAAATCATTTGTAACACTAATACCAGTGATCTCCCCATGTCACTTTTACCGGGGGCTCCCCCTACTTGAAACCAAAGGCCCCCCAGTTGGCATCTGCACTTCAACTTCTGATTTAAAAAATGAGTGAAGTAAGCACCTACACAGAGATATTGTGAGCGTAGCGAGTGCTGATTTTTTCAGACTTGAAATCTTGCACCCAGTTGAAAATTTTTTTTGGGGAGAACACTGAATACCATTCATAAAATCAGCATTGTATGAAGAGTATGATGAAGGATACTTTAAGGGTAATGTGTATTAAAGAAATTCCCAAATTCCTTACTTTTTGGTAAAAAATGACAAAAATAATAGTGAAATGCACTTTCTTTTAATCTCAAAGTGGTTGAACACGCTATATGAGAATTTAATCCAGAGGATGCCATCATTACGACACATTTATTTTAAAAATGGATGGTTGCATTTTTATGGGTCACCCTGTATTTATATTACTCATTTAGTATTTATTTAATATACTTAATTTGAATAATTTTATATCCAACATCAAAGTTTTAAAATCAGTCTCAAAGAAGATTCTTGTTCAAGGGTTTTGTTTTCAATATACATTAACACTCTAGTCAAGTAAAATTCAGTTATTGAATATTTGTTGAATGTATCGGATACATGTAAGAAACGATTCATTTACAACACAAGATCAAATTATTTGATACATGTCTTAACATGATAAACATATGAGAGCCAAAAAATAAAAATTAATATAGCAGTAGAAACATGATGTAAAACAAGGCATTAACATGACACAATGTCACCAACTAGTTGCTCACAATATTATGAGTTCAATCTTAAGTCAGATTTGAATTTCTGAGAATTTGTAGATAATTTTGAAAAAACAAATTGGTCAATTTGAAACAAGTTTTAAAAATACCTTTTTGTAACATATTTCACATTGAATGTGAAATCGCAAATCTAAAGTCAGATTTGAACTTCTGAGAACTTGTAGATGATTTTGAAAAAATGGTCAATTTGAAGCAAGTTGAAAAAATACATTTTTGACCTTGTGAAGTCAATGAAGGTCAAATCTTTTTTTACCTTCAGAATGTCATTGAAGGTCAAATCTATAGTCAGATTCGAACTTTTGAGAACGTATAGATGATTTTGAAAAAAAATTGGTCAATTTGAAGCAAGTTGAAAAAAGATCTTTTTGACCTTTTATGACCCTGAGAAGGTCATTGAAGGTCAAATTTAAAATATAACCAAGCATATAGCCAACCACCAACTGCCACCCGCCGATCGCCTACCACCAACCGATGCCATAAAAAATGGAGACCATTACAATATGTCACCACTTTCTGGTGGTGACATAATAATGTTTTAAAGTTCAGGAGCTTAGATTGATCTCTATTATTCCAGTTTATAAGACTCCTTATCTATACCGCTAGTGTATGGTCTGTTTGGACCAACACACAACAGCCTTGAGTAGGTATCATAAGTATCTATCACATTTTCAAAGATGATTTTAGAATGGTTTAGAACTGGAACACTTACAAAATGTCATCAAAAATATCATCTCTGATTTCTTAATCTAATGGTGCCATTTATCGTAATTAAAGCTAGAAGCTTTCAATTAAAGTAAAGTAATATTAAGATTAAGCCAGCAGCTACATAATCAATAAGAATAGATGAATGAATCTCTAAGACAACAAAAATAAATATAACCAACCAAGATATAATATAACATATTCAAACATGACCGTGCTCTATTCGAATTTCTCAACCAATCAGAATGCAGCATAGCCAATATAGAACGTTCTCTAATTCTCCATAGATGCACGACCTAGCTCTATTCAATCTGCAATTTGCATTGTTTTGAGTGACGTCACATCTCAGCTGCACATCTGGGGCTCTGTCCGGGGATAGCTGTTTTTTTTACTCCCTCCGTAACTAATGTAACTATATTTATTTTTATTTTATCAACACCCATGTTTGCATACACCGTATAAAATCTAAAACGGAGAGTAAAATAGAACAGCCCAAACAAATTCTAAATTTTTTCCGGCCGACTTCAGAATCTTGACAGCATGCGTATTCTTCCTTCATGCCCGTTCCACAGACACGGCTTTTACTAATTTAGTGTTTGAATCGGAATAAATAATGATAGGCCATTCAATATGGTGAAATTCAGCACTCGTTGGACAGAATGTTAGTACAAATGCACTCACCTTCGGTTCGTGCTTTGTACAACATTCTGTCCAACTCGTGCTGAATTTCACCATATTGAATGGCCTATCATTATTTATTCCTTAAATATATTTGCAAGGTAAATCAGTATAGCACAGAGCTAAGAACATTGAAAAAATAGTTTGGAATAAGCCTAACACCATCTTTTAACCAATACAAGCTTCATGCCAAAGGAGTAAATAAAAAAACATGCTCTGGAGACTATGTCAGTATCATCACCCTTGGTCAAAGTCATTAGAGCAATTATAGGTCCATAAAAAAAATCTGGACATGCAGTATAGATAAAAGACATGAAAATTATAAGATTACTGCAGTTTTCTTTCAAATACATAAGAGTAGAGAAAATCCATATTAATATAATCATAGAGGTAATAGAAAAACATATAATTTCTTTTCACATATTATATTATTTTCATTTCTGAAATCTATTATAATGCCGTGCACAAGTCCATAAAACGACTGCCTATAGATAGCTTTAATCAGGCTACTCATCAAAATGTAACTTTATAAAGCTTCAATTAGTCATGCTAGAGATACATTGGCCACTCAAGAGTGATAATATCTCCATAGATTCCTCAGTATCCCAGTGAATTAGATAAATGATATAATGAATACTACATTGGCATGTGATTGTTATGAACAGGGATGGAGTGCTGAATTTCAGCAATTATTACTCACCTCACATGGAAGGGCAGTCTAAGATCATACAATTACAATATATTACAATTACAATACAACAATTTTGGGATTCTTCATTTTTATTTTTCCCATTCCTTGAAATTAAGGCTGGATTAGTGAAGGGACTTATACAGACAAACATTCCACACAAAAATGATTCCTTTTTGATTTGAGTCTGACTAATTTAAAATAATCTGCTTCAATTATAATGAATACTTTCATGCATGTACGTACATACTTAATGTTGGACATCCATTTGTAGAGCACTTCAAAATGGCAGTTTGTAAAAGTTTATGTATATTTATGATAATAGCAAACTCCAAGAGACCAGAAAAATCTTTCAAAGTCTATGATAAGTGTGTCATACAATAATCCATATTCTATATAATAGTAAATATGAAAGATTATTTTCAAAAATGGATGAATGAGTAATTGGATTTAGTGCATGATATTATACAATCATGCAACAAGAGATTTACATTAAATCTACCTAAAAGCCTGTCCTGAAGATTAAACATCATAGCCCATGTAAATTACAACATCTATAAAACAATCCCAACTCACTCTTTGTTAAATGTAAGTCCACCAAGGTTTCCAAGTAAAGTCCTACTTTCACTGAATGCATGAACAGATAGTAGAAAATACACTACACATAAGTTAAAAATATTATGTAGATCCTCAGATTATTTTGAACTGAAGTCTGAATCCAAGAAAGAAATCTTGCCTGGAAAAATTGCTTGCTTGTTGTCACATGGTGACACAACAAATTAAGATGAGGCATTAACAGGCAAAATATCACCTGTCATTTGTCACAGATGCCATCCACCAAACACCAACCACTGAACACCTTCCACAAAAAAGTGAGGGACTATAACAATATGTCACCACCAGAAGTGACATAATAAATCAAAAATGCTACTTTTGAGGTAATTTTTTCAATTGATTGAGCATGAATTATTACTGTATAACTTACCAAAATGTTGAATTGAAAAAAGCCATTAAATTCCAAGAGTGTGCAAATCCTTATTTGAAAATGTTCCAGTTAGATCATGTCAATTTCTATGATTTCCAAATAACTTTTTGTATCAGTCAATTGTATCATATATAAAAGTAGATCACATCTGTTGACTGATATAACAAAACCTATTTTCTGGCATATTGCTAAAATGTGATAATTACATTCTATTAACTGTGAACTTTTACTCCAGAGCATCTGCAGAGTTATGTAATAATACTGAATTATATTAATATATATGACATCATCAAACTTCCAAAAAATCCATTTACAATTGCAAAATATTTATCAAACACTGATAAAACAAGCCATCAAATTATTTTTCCACTATTCCTATTTCATAATTATCATAATTCTGATAATATTTATTGGTTCCAAAACAATTTCAAAACCATATCAATAAATGCTCTCTTTGTACACAGAACAATAATGACATCAAATGAGATCCCAATACTTCAATCCATAATAGCATCAGGTTACATACCATATGACATTTCCTTAAGATATCAAGAAATGGGATAAGTTTCATGAAGGGTCAAATATCATGTATACAAATCACCTGGTCATTATACCAGCTAACAAGCTAGCTGTTTTAGATCTCAGACATACAAAACAGTGAAATACTCACTAATTACCAGGTGCTTGATGACTTACAAATATACATTACTACAAGTACAAGTAACAAAATGGATGCTTCAAGAAGATTAGACTGACTACTATGACCCTAACAATGGTTATAATACAGTTATTTTGGACATGGCTTATTCCTTTAGTTTATTAGTCATCTTGGGCTAAGATCTGAAATGTTTCATTAAAACAAAAGTTTAGAACCTAGTACCTTTGCTATAAGATGAAACCTTTCATTAAACAAGACAACAAGATCAACATCAGGAATCTGGTTGTTTCTTTCATGCATTGTATTATAAATTATAATGACATGATGACGTATCATATTATGAAAAATCAGTAAAATCCATTTTTGCCATCTTCCTACTTGAACGGATAGTCATGGTTCCAAATGAGAGTGTGCTAATGAGACACTGTTTTGTACGCCAGTGATCTCTATCAATCAGCAGATCTAAATCAATAATATACAATTTGTTCTGTATGCTACATATGTACATGTATACTAATAACAGGAGTAATGACATATATGCTAAAGATAGACCTCGATCAAATATTTAGATGTAGCACTAATTATATTAATGGTAACAACTCGAGGATAGTAAATAATCACGGGATGTCATCGCCTGATTTGGTCAATGTTAGGGAGCAGGTCGTTTTTACAATAAATTTCAATATTTTCACACAAAATATTTTTTTACTGAAAAACTGCTCATTCGCAGAGAAAATGTACTAGCACATGCAATGACAATGTCAATCACGCTTCTGTACGAAATTCGGCGGAAGTCTTTTATAATCTAATACGAAGTTACTAAAAAAGGCGCGAACGCCCTACACTCAAAATGATCGTTTTTCCATTATAACTTTTTAACGTAATTTAACGAAGGCTTCTAATTATTATCCAAGATAGTCTAAATACCGATTAAAATATTTCTTACTTCAAACAGATACGCCGTCTTTTATTCAATTTTTTAAAAAATAATAAAAAATAACTCTTGTCAATGTTAGGGAGCAGTCAATGTTAGGGAGCAAAATGATTTTATCAGAATATTAAAAATGTAGCAAATGGCCATTTAAAATATGTATGGCATTTATAAACTAAACAATATTGTTTGAATGATTATTTTAAACCCCTTGCCTTAACAAAATTTAACAAAATCGATAAAAAAAATTGTTTTGCATTTTTGTTATCTTCAGAAAATGGACTCTCAAAGATTTTTGACGAAGGAAAGTTAATTATTATCATGGATAATCTCAGTACATATTGAAATATTTCTTACTTCAAACAGGTACACCTTTCTTTAATTTTTTTTAAATAATAAAAAATAAGTATGATCAATGTGGCGGAGCAAACAATGCAGTGGGGCGAAATGGTTTTATCAGAATATCAGAGTAATTGGCCTTTACAAACATGTATGTCATTTATAAACTAGACAAGATTGTATGATTGTTTTATACCCCTTGGTATAAACCTTACAAGCATACAGTATTGCTCAGCACAATATACACAATTTAACCAGATACAATAATTACATGACATCTCCCTTTATTCATGATATTGTATTTAAATAAATGAGCTCATCTTTGTATATAAATTATTGTTTTGAAATAGACCGGTAACACTTAAAGAAAGTCTAAAACTTTGTCCAATCATATTTTAGAAATGTTAGAATAATAAAACATTTTGGGACTTCACACATTTTCAACCCAACCCTACCTTCACGAGGAAAACATTACTCTGTTTGACAGGGCAGTGTAGTCATAACAGGCTAGTCAACTGACATGAGACAGGAAATAAACACATTTCTCTGATCGAGTTGATATCTCCAATTTCCATGATTTCAGATTTCAATGATACTGCAATTTTGTTTGGCTGGGAACTGACCAATGAACACTCTGTTAATTAATCAGTAATTACATTGTAAATACGAGCGACTGTTTTTGCGTTTCAATCGAATTCATTTCTAATACATTTCTTTGTGGAGATGATTCATCAGGAGCGTTAATTGCTACATAAAGAGACGCTCGTAGTTTGTTTGCTTCATGGAGTAAAAATAAAAATGTAAGTTTAAAATTTAATTTAAATCGAAAGTTTGTCGAATTATGACACTATTTAGTTGAATATTTTATGAATATTTTAATGCATATAATACTCATTGTTAATCAGGCCACGCTAAACTTAGCGAGAAGTTTGTTTAAAATGACGAGCAATAAACCAAGAATCGTATTGTCTCTGAATGCTGTCTTTCGTTTAGTGCTTCTGCTGAAAATACTGGTACATCCCCGGGACTGTGATACGTGTGATTTTCGACTATATCGGTGAAAAAGCTCGGTTCAGCATATTCATTAGCGCATGTTACAGTAAATATATATCACCCCCCCCCCCCCACAGCTTGACTTCCATTCTCAGCAAATAGTTTTACTTATTTTCATGGCCATAATATCCCGGTGTGATCGGGGACTTACCCTGTAGGTTTACATGTAACTACCATGATCAGCAATCAATTGGTCAAATTAATCTGTAATTTATTTTCAATTTATAATTTTTCTTTTAGAATGGCTTTCGTGTGTCACTTTTGCGGAGAACATTTTTCATCCAACTACAATATGCATAGACATACTATGGATAGACATATGGTAGACGCTGTGGAATATAATTGTCACACTTGTGGTAGCAAGTTCAAAAGGAAAGATCATCTTATTCAACATATGATGGTGCATAACTCTAGTGATCATAAGAATGTGTACGTATGCAGCAAATGCCCAAAACAGTTCTCTAGGAAAAGCTGTTTGAACAGGCACGAGATGACCCACAAGGACTCTGAGTTCTTTTGTGAGACTTGCCAGGACATGGGATCAGATATGGAGGGCACACGCTGCTTCAAAACAAAACATTACTTAAACGTTCACAAGAAGCTTGTTCATGGAAACACGTTATTCAAATGTCCACATTGTTGTAAGGAGTTTAAATACCGAGCAACCTTACAACGGCATATTAAAACGAATCATTCTTCAAACATGTAAGATAGCGTAATAAATGCGCAGCTGCAGTTGCTAGCTAGCTCATGATCTAGTAGCATGAAATGTAATGTTTTGTTATTTTAAAAATTATGTCTCCCCTGAACTGTAAATTTCAAAAATATTCTCAATAATTCCATGATAATTCATTCATATAATTACTGTAGTACATTGGAAAGTGAAATAAGTAGCTTGCACGGTGGATATGGATGACGCAGTCCAGCCACGTACTGTATGTGTAATCCCAGGTTAATATATAGGGTGTCCCCAAGTCTGCAAGTGAGCCGCTTTTTGACAATTAAATTCATTCAAAACTTAAATAGTAGCCTTAAGCCCAGTATACACCAATGGGGCAAAATCCCACTTGCCCATCGAGTCCGATCTTGCCCTATCGAATCCGAACTTGCCCCAATGAGTCCAACGGAGTCCCATGGTTGATGACTTTGCCCCATCAAGTCCCAACGTGCCCCATCGAGCCCCATGGAGTCCCATCAAATCCCACCTTGCCCCATTGGTGTATGTTGGGCTTCACATAACATGTGACCTGATCGGAAATCCCACGATGCCCCATGGAAAGAATGAACATGTTCATTCTCGATGGGGCAAGATGGGACTCCGTGGGATTTTGCCCCATCCTGCCCCATCGAATCCCATCGAGTCCAACGTGGGACCTCATGGGACTCGATGGGGCAAGATTATTGGAAGTTGGGGCAAAATCCGACGGAGTCCCATTGATTCCCACGGACTTCATGGGGCAAAATCCCAAAAGGTCCCACTAGGTCCCACGCCATGTTAAGTCTATGGAGGTCCCAACTTGTCCCATTGGTGTATACCGGGCTTTAGAGTATCATTAGCAAGTGGTACACATATAACAGAGATCGGTTATATACTGCATTGTCTGAGTATTGACAAATTGAAGTATACGTGTAAAAATCTACTATCATACATGTAACTGCGCAATGAGCCCTTCATAGCGTTTGTGCCAGCTATCAGGTGATACCCGGTCGTAAAGATAAGTGCGAGACTAACTCTCTTACTTTAATACTAGGAAAATATCAAATCATAGAACTGAAGGATGTCGGAGATTTCTCAAGCCTATATATCAGTTCAGATAATTTATCATCCACAATTTAGGATTGTGAACTGATGACATCATCAAAAAGTGTATATAACGATACATCCATTCATTTACAGTTAGAGGTCAACGAATAAACAAGGAATGGTTCGCATCTAAATATTTCTAAAACGAACGTAAACAGGATTTAGCTGAAAATAAAAAATGCAAAATAACCTTTTCAATGATTTTCTTACAATTTTAACGCTTTCCTCCCCAAAGGGTATCAAATAATCATACAAACAAAATTGTTCAGTTTATAAATGCCATACATATTTTAAATGGCCATTTGCTACATTTTTAATATTCTGATAAAATCATTTTGCTCCCTAACATTGACTGCTCCCTAACATTGACAAGAGTTATTTTTTATTATTTTTTAAAAAATTGAATAAAAGACGGCGTATCTGTTTGAAGTAAGAAATATTTTAATCGGTATTTAGACTATCTTGGATAATAATTAGAAGCCTTCGTTAAATTACGTTAAAAAGTTATAATGGAAAAACGATCATTTTGAGTGTAGGGCGTTCGCGCCTTTTTTAGTAAC